GGCAGCCAACCTATTTGCGGACACTTTTGCTTTAGATAACGACATTGAAATCAGTTCAGAGAAAAAACACGAAATTTAAGAAAAGACACAATTTAGAAGTCAGAAAGAAATAACATCAGAGGCGCTAGAGGTGCCAATTACACTTAATGAACTGGAGTTGGCCATTTCAAAGCTGAAAATGCGGAAGTCACCAGGAGCAGATGGTATATCAAACGAAATGATCAGAAACTTAGGAAAAGTAGCCAAAACAAAGCTTTTACAGATATTTAATGCTTGCTGGGCAACAGGGAATGTTCCACAAATCTGGAGAGAGGCAATTATGATACCTCTCAAAAAGCCTGGGAAAGACAGTTCTAATGCCTCCAACTACAGACCAATCAGCCTCACAAGTTGTCTCTGTAAAACAATGGAGCGCATCACCAACCTCAGACTACAGTGGTACATTGAAAGTGAAAACATCATTACACCACAGCAGGCGGGCTTTAGAAAGTTTCTATTCTACGGAAGACCAGACAACATACCTCTCCCAAGAAATAGAGGATGCTTTTCAAGATAAGAAACTGGTACTCGCGGCATGGATAGATTTAAGGAAAGCTTTTGATAAGGTTTGGAAGGAGGGGCTTTTGAAGAAATTGAGAAACTATAAAATAAATGGAAAAATGTACAATTGGATTAAAGCATATCTACATAACAGAAGAGCCCGGGTACAGGTAGATGGTTTCAAAAGTAAAAAAGTTCTACTGCGACAAGGCGTCCCTCAAGGTGGTGTCCTGTCGCCCACACTTTTCCTTTTATTTATCAACGATCTGGTTGCTGAGATACCAAATGGAATCAAAATGGCAATGTATGCCAACGACCTGGTACTGTGGTGCACCAATGAACATGCAACGATAGCCACAAAAACACTACAGCGGGCTACAAATGCACTTGAGGCATGGGCCAATAGATGGTGTGTCAGTATCAACACAGACAAATGTAGCACCACACTCTTCACCCTCTCCCCAAAGCAAAAAGCCGGCACCATCAAAATAAACGAAATACCTCTGAGAGATGATAAAGAGCCCACATACCTAGGAGTCACATTTGATGACAGGTTGACATGGAGAAAACATATCAACAAGGCAGCAACCAAAGCTAGGAGGAAGACAGCAATACTAAGAAAACTAAGTGGAACCACATGGGGAGCAGATGGGAAAATACTCAATAAAGTATACAAGCAGAGCATACTTCCACACTTGGAATATGGGTCAACTGCATGGTGTTCAGCATCTAGTACCACATTAAAGGAGTTAGACAAAGTGCAAAATCAAGCGCTCAGAGTCAACACAGGAGGGATGAAATCAACCCCCATATTAGAAATGGAGAAAGCTGGGAAAACACAGGCACTGAGAGAACGCAGAGATACAAAGTTGCAAATACAAGCTGAAAAGTTCATCAGTATGCCAGATCACCCGATGGAAAATAGATTTAAGAACCTAGCCTTGGGACGGTTAAAAAGAAGCAGCTTTATACACCAAGCAAAAAGAATATGTAGACAAACTCCTGACCTTCCAGAAATTGGCTGCCCACTTAAAAGTATTCCGGAACAAACCCCATGGAGAGAAAAATGTAAACTAACGGTACAAATCCAGACAAATGTGAAAGGGATATTTGACAAGAAAGAGCAAGATAGTGTACAACGCAAAATGGCCACCCTCAGTTATTTTGATGAAGAATACCCACAAGAACAATGGGTCAGAGTCTATACAGATGGGTCCGCAGAAAGTGCAGTTAGAAATGGTGGTGCTGGAGTGTACATCGAATTCCCAGATGGTACTAGGGATAAGTCCAGCGTACCAACCGGGAAGTACTGCCATAACTACGATGCAGAAACCCAGGCTATTAAGATAGCTACAGAGAAACTGCTAAATACCAACCTTGGCTCACAGTATGTGGTAATGCTTACAGATGCTAAATCAGTACTTGAAGCACTCCAGTATAGGAAACTACCAGAATTGCAAACACTGCTGACACAACTCAGCGTTCAGCGAAAAGTCGTAATGCAGTGGATACCGTCTCATTGTGGAGTGCCTAGAAATGAGAAAGCTGATCAACTGGCAGGGGAAGGTGCGACAAAAGAGCAGCCAGATGTACCAGTCACATACCACCAAAAGAAAAGAATCATTAAATCGATCAGGAAACCACCAGCCTTAGCACAAGACGACTATTTTATTATGGACAGACCAGAACAAGTCATTATCTTCCGCCTCAGAACAGGGCACAACCGATTACGTAACCACATGTACACAAAATTCAAGATAGGTGTATCAGCCATGTGCACCTGTGGAAATGTGCCCCAGACCGCAGAGCATGTACTCCAGGACTGCACCGATTTTGACACATTAAGGCAAACCTTTTGGCCAGAAAGAACAACAGTGGAACGTAAACTCTATGGACCACTGAATGAACTAACAACGACAGTGAAATTTATACAAGAGACAAAACTGCTGATATAGATAACTTATTTCAGGCGAACGAAAGAAGAAGAAGAAGAAGAGGGGGGGGGGTGTCCTTGCTATACATTCGAGGGGAGGAGGGGGGGGGTTGTCCTTGCTATACATTCGAGGGGAGGAGGAGGGGGAGGGGGGTGTCCTTGCTATACATTCGAGGGGAGGAAGGGGGGGGGGGTGTCCTTGCTATACATTCGAGGGGAGGAAGAGGGGGGGGGGGGGGTGTCCTTGCTATACATTCGAGGGGAGGGGGGGGGGGGGCTGAAAACTTGAAAAACTTCTGTGCTAGAACTTTTTTATCTGAGACAATCGGCGCCCGATGGGTGTTGCAGCTGACACTGCCTCCACTTTTAATTCATATACAGACAAATCCCATTAAAATGACCTCGCTTATGACGAACATTCAGTTAACATGAACAAACTTTCGGGTTAAAATGTTTAGTTCCTAAACCCACGTCCTTCTGATTCACAGGCGGGTCTAGCCGCTACACCAAAGCAGCACCCTGGCATACAGACATAGTGCTAGGTCTATATTTCAACAACAACCAGCATTCGATGGATGTTGCAGTATGCTTTATACTGGCCACTTGTAATTCCTATATCTCCTGGTACCGTATGTCCTATGTGCCAATGGCCCGACAAACAACTCAAATTTATTTACATGACAGTGGATCCCAGCCCCTTGTGGCATAGCAAGAATGAGATGGCAGATAAAGTGAACAAAACAGGAAACACAGGGAAAACAGGATCTCCATCCCACATCACTACAAGAGTTAAAGACACTGATCAAGAACCTCCAGATGACACAATCAGCAGCCTTACAGAAGGCAGTACCCCACCATTTTTACGAATAAGAACAGGACAATGCAGACCTAACGCACACATGCAAAGAATGAAGGCTACACGATTCACCCAGTGTCTCTGCCAAACCGTACTCCAAACACAAGCAGAACTGCCTAAAACATCAAAACCTGCCAGAAAACATGGCCAGAGGGAGGCATCCAGGACAAACTGGGGAGCCCTTGGAGAATAGCTGCTGACGTGCCAGTTCATGGAGGCAACATAATTGATAGCCTGAGCATATGAAACTAATCGCAAAAAAAATTTGCATGAGACAAAATGTTGTGGAAAGAGCAGGGTTGGGTTCTCAAAACTGACATTATGGCACTCAGGAAATACTCATATGTGGTATCTCTCCACCAAGGAAATAAGATAAGCTGGAAAAAGCTGGGAGTAATCTTAGACAACTCATCCACTGCAGAGTTACAAGGAAACCTAAGCAGCCCTAAAGCAGTCTTTTAAGGGCGATTGTAGATGGTAGATTGGAAACTACAGACCAGAGAGTGACAGCATGAACAAACTCAACAGGAAAGAACAAACATCAATTTGCAAGCTTCGGACAGGATATTGTGGTCTCAGAGCAGACCTGCACAGGATAGACATAAAAGAACCTGCTGTCTGTGATTGCGGAGCAGAAAGACAGACCCCTGAGCACATATTGCAGAATTGCCCAGCACAGACTTTGGATCTGGCCCAAGGGAGCTTCATTACAAGAGACGCTGTGAGGGGCCGGTGGCGACCTTAGATGTTTTGAGACTCAATGTTTAGCATGGCTGATGTCGAACACAGAAGAAGAATCTCCCCATCTTCTGCATATATCACACAAGCTGTGGAAAGATATGATTACCAGTGCCACATGAAATATCGTCTTCATCTTTGCATTCACCTGCGTTAACTGGCAGAAAGTTCTGGATGTTCCTCCACTTCTTCTTCCAGAACTTGAGTTTTGTGCGCACATCCATTTCACAGATCTGGCTTATCTGTATGCAGACTACTGGTTTCCCACCTCTCAGGCAGATGCGCTCTGACTTCAAAGAAAACTTCCCTGATTAGTTGACTCTTGGGACATGCTTGTTAGGAGGCAGTGGGTCTATTCTTTTGTCTCCCAAAACTGGGCCCATGAATCCACATGGGGAGGCATGGAGTAAAAAAACAGGGCCCCAGAACCGACATGGGGAGGCATTGAGTATAAAAACAGGGCCCCAGAACCCACATGGGGAGGCATTGAGTTTAAAAACAGTCCCCCAGAACCCACATGGGGAGGCATTGAGTATAAAAACAGAGCCCCGGAACCCACATGGGGAGGCATGGGTTAAAAAAAACAGGGCCCCAGAACCCACATGGGGAGGCATGGGTTAAAAAAAACAGGGCCCCAGAACCCACATGGGGAGGCATGGAGTTAAAAAAAAACAGGGCCCCAGAACCCACATGGGGAGGCATGGAGTTAAAAAAAACAGGGCCCCAGAACCCACATGGGGAGGCATTGAAGTACAAAAACAGGGCCCCAGAACCCACATTGGGAGGCATTGAAGTACAAAAACAGGGCCCCAGAACCCACATGGGGAGGCATGGGTTAAAAAAAAACAGGGCCCCGGAACCCACTTGGGGAGGCATGGGGTAAAAAAACAGGAGTCAACTAACTACTGGTGGACTGCACACACAAAACAACACTGACGCTAACCTCCATGTCGGAGAATCTGCTGGTTTCTGTGCAAGTGTAACAAGCTTGCAGGATGCGCCAGATGTGTTGGGTTTCATCCAGGGACACCTCCAGCAGATCTCCTTCCATCATCAGCTCCTCCAGCTGAGCTCTCTTGGTTTCGGCAACATCCAGAGTTGGAGCCTCGCACATGCGTGGAATCAGTGGAGATTTACGCTGGTTCTTTCTAGGTGATCCATCTGTTCCAACCAGAAATAAAATTACCAATTTTAATAACTAGAAAAGATTATTGTTAAGGGAATGTGAGTTAATATTAAAATAAAACGATCAACTTTAAAACTAGTAAAGATGATTATTTAGCGACTACAGTTTTGACAATTTGCGGTCTTTTCGGCAATTTCCGTTACCCGGAAACCGTTCAGAACTTGTTCGGGAAATCTCGGCTGGTTTCCTGATGGGTCCAAATCTCATGAAAATTCGCGACTGGTGGGAATTTTTGACCCAACTATAAATAGCTGAAAACAGCGTGGGGGAACCCGATTAACAGCGCATGTCTACGACAGCCGGACTCCTCTGTTTTTCTGTTAGTCATCAGTTTGATTGAAAATAGCGGTAAATTCGGGGTTGGCTTTAGGCCTTAAACATTACCAGATGTGGTAATGCTAGTTACAGTTGAATTCTCCGTCCAATTTTACATTTGCATATAAAATTTCTTTCCCGTCTTTGGCTGTTTAGATTTACAGCGACATTTTTTAGGCAATCGCATGCGGCTGAGTGAGCTGAGTCTCACTGCCTGCCATCTTGTCCAATGACAGTCCAATGTCAACAAAGCCGATACAGAACTGCGCAGTAGGTTGCGCAGTGAAAAACTTCTTGTTTCTGGGTCACAAGTTTTAGCAGCTGTTTCTTACATCTCATCTCCACAAAAACCCCACATATCTCAGCTCAGAAATGACATACAAGCCTAAATGAGGTACCATTGGAAAGAGATTGTTTACAGCTATCTAACTGTGCTGGTTTTATTGGTGTAGAGGGCATTTTAAAAAGTTGACTGAAGTACCTAGATTATTAAGGGTATATTAGATTTAATGGAAATAAAACGAACAACTTTAAAACTAGTAAATATAATTGTTAGGGGCATATTAGATTTTATGGAAATTCAACTTGATTTGATTTGATTCAAGAACCGACATCACAGCACTCGGGGCATTCACATAAGCGCTCCGTCCCCATCTTCAGCAGCCAGCGAAGAGTTCCGATTCTAATGGTGCCAGTAGCATTCTGATTAAACATCCGTCTTGCTTTTCCTCTGAGCCTTGAGCATCTGCCAGAACCTCTCGTCACTCCCAACTGCATCAGTCTCACCACACTGTGAAGATCAATCTGCTCCTCCGCACTGTACACGCTCTCCCACAAGGCACTAACCACGTTTGCCTTATCATGCATCAGTATTCCACTAAGCTTTAAAACTAGTAAAGATGACTGTTAAGGGTACATGAGATTTTATGAAAACAAAGTAAAGATGATTGTTAAGGGTATATTAGATTTTATGGAAATAAAACGATCAACTTTAAAACTAGTAAAGAGGTGGCTCTCATGCTTGACCAGCGATCAGAGTTGTCAATCCCCTGTGAGATAGAGATGTCAGTTGGCAAAACTTTCCATGTCAACCCAGCCTACAGCAGACATTGTATTCAACCACTGACATAACGTCCTACGTTTTAAATACCAGATGTTTCATAAACTTCAGCCAAAAACTATGGAATTTAGACAGAATCTGAAACCAACCAATGACAAGGTATTACAGTTTACATATACAAGATCTATCATAAACCTTAGCCAAAAACTATGGAATTAAGATAAAATCTGAAACTAACCAATGACAAGGTATTACAGTTTACATATACACAGATCCATCATAAACCTGAGCCAAAAACTATGGAATTTAGACAGAATCTGAAACTAACCAACAACAAGGTATTACAGTTTACATATACCAGATCTATCATAAACCTGAGCCAAAAACTATGGAATTTAGACAGAATCTGAAACTAACCAATGAGGAGGTATCACAGTTTACAGATACCAGGTCTATCATATATCTAAGCCAACAGTCAATTTTGAAGAAAAAAAATACCCCAATGAAGCTCAATTTGAAAAATATTGGTAAGGCTGTCTGTTTGCAGTCTACATGTCCATAATTCGATAACCATTGAATCTGGTCATCAAGGGACACGACCGGAAATTCGATGATCACCGAATTTGCTATGGAAATTGTTAAAAACAATTGTTAAAAAGGTGCCACCATTAATGGTCTACCATATCCCAAGCCAACAATTGTGGAATATGATAATTTGCATCTAGCCACTGAAATAACTCCATAGGATTAATCCACCGTACCAAAGGTAATCCTAGTTGCCATAGTACTTAAAGATGGTGATGAAATGCAAAGATCCTAACAAGTAAATAAATGGATACAAAGTACTTGAGTTAGGACTACTTGTGACCCAAAATAATAATGATGATTATAGAAAGATTTCAGTACTGATATCTAGTGATAGTCGTAGAAAAGACACTGGCGTTGGATAGGACACACAATAAGAAAACCTTAGATCAATATAACTATTATGTCTTTGCACTGGACCCCACAGGGGCATAGGAATAAAGTAAGAAAAGACATGGAGAGTGAGGTTAAAAACATTGGGAGACCTGCATTCAATAGCGAAGGAAAGAACATCTTGGCGACAGCTGGCTGAGGGGAGATGCTCCACTAGGGGTTAGAAAGGCAGAAGAAGAAGTCATTGTCTTCTTATAATTCAACGGCTGTAAACTCCTGTCAAAAGTCCTGGTTGTTTGTCCACTCTTGGACTTTGGTCATGTGCACACTCATTTTACAGATCTGGTTTATTTGTATGCAGACTGTTGATAGCAGATACAGCCATGACATTGCAACAACATCTAACATCCATGAATGAAGAATGTAAAACAAATAATATGAGAATCAACACTGAAAAGACAGAAGTAATGTCAATATGAAAAAAGAAGACAGATCTAAACATAGCAATAGAATACAAAGGCATTAAACAGGCATCTGAGTTTAAATATCTGGGAACTACATTTACCGAAGATGGGAAATTGGATAAAGAAATTAACATTAGATGCAGTAAAGCAAACCAAGTATTGGGACAGCATAAGACAATCCCAATCAGCACAAAGAGACATCTTATTCAAAGCATATTTATTCCAACTCTGTGCTACCAGTGCCAGACATGGTCACTCACAACAAACCATAAAAGAAAATTAGTAACCACGGAAATGAGATGTCTGAGAAGGGCTGTAGGAGTGACCATAAGAGATAAGATCAGGAATGAGATCATAAGAGAACAAGTCGGCACAGAACCAATTCTGGATACATACAAAGACAGCAAGTGAAATGGTTTGCCCACTTAGAGAGAATGCCTTGTGACACCATACCATACAAAGCATACATGGAAAGAGAAGAAGGACGTAGAGCACGGGGTAGACCAAGAACAAGATGGAAGGATAACATCAGAGAAACTCTTCATCAGCACGATGTGCCTATGGTCGAGGCGGCCAGAAGAGCTAGAAACAGAACCTTATATCTCCCTCGACACCCACAGCGGTAAAAGAGGAAGTGAAGAAGAAGAAGAAGAAGAAGAAGACTTGGTTCCTCGCCTCAAGCAGATGCACTCCAGACTCTAAAGGAAACACACCTAATTACTTGTTAGGGGCGCAGTGAATGTTTTCCGAAATAAAGCTCCCGAACCCACATGCCGAATCCAGCACTCAAGATACTGGACACTGTGGGAGATACTGAAACCTTAAGACTAAGACCTCACCACATCGTATGCCCAAAAGCAGCAGTGGATGCACTAAAGCCAATCTTTACTGTGGAGATGGCACACATAATATAATTACTGATGACCTCTGACTTACTTGAACCACCCTTTGACATTGAAGAATAAGCATGTTCTGATGACATTCCCAGAGATGCGACTGATGGGATGTCAATCTCAGCACCAATATCCTGAGACATGGGGTTGGGGGTCAGGGCTATTGACTGAGGCAGAGGGGGTGACAAGGCTCCAGAAGTGGGAGATGCCGGGCGATCCATATTGACTCCAACCCCTGCCTCCCTTGAGGAATCATAGTCTTTATGAAGGCCGTCTTCAGTATCTGAGGACATTCCAAAAAGCTGCTTATGGTTTCTAGCTGCAGACGCGATGAAAGTGAGGCCCCCATGGCTTGCTGGCCCTCCGTAACGATGGTGGCCGTCTCTAGAATCTCCATCAACTGCTCCTGGATGGTTTTGAAGCAGCGAGACTGAGGACATGTCTCGGTTACCGAATGCACTCATGGTAACAGAGGCCAAGTGGGGCTGAAGTTCAGGGTTATTGGCAACTTTCTGTAGCTCAGCATTGATGATCTTCTCCGTTTTCTCCCGGGCTGCCTGTTCTACCATCCGCTGGCTCATTATGCTAAGCTGTGCCATGGCAGAGGCCATTTCTGTGGTGGTCAGTACTTGCCGAGCACGGTCCTTAAAAAAACAAAAATCAAAAACACTAAATGCAATTATTTGTAATGTCAAATATGTATTAAAGGTATGCCAGAGGCCATTCATGTTCTATTCAGTACCTGCAGAGCATGGTCCTAAAAAACAAAAATCATAACCACTCAATGCATGCATGTGTAATGTCAAATATGTATTACTGGTATGGCAGAGACTGTTTCTCTAGTAGTCTGTACTCATTATTTCATCTGCTCATTTTCACAACAACAAAATGTGGCCCTTGTTGAATCAGCTCCTCAGTGTGCCGCGGTTATAATTTAGACCTTGCTTGTTTTTTTGTTGCTCTGGTACTGACTGCTGTAGGATTTGCTGTACTTTGTTGGGCGTGGTCCTGGTTTCATAGGTTCTCTTTGCTGTCTTTGTTCAAATGGAAAATGTATACATCCATTACTTTAAAATTAAATGTGCCTAACAAGTGTTTCAATGGATGAATAAAATTGGTCTGTATGGCAGATGATCTCAACTAGAGCAGGGATAAAGTCATGGGTATCCTGAAAGTGGATGAATAAAATCAGCCTATATGGCAGACGATCTAAACTAGAGCAGGAATTATTAGGTCAAGGGTATCCTGATAATGGACAAATAAAATCAGCCTATATGGCAGATGATCTAAACTAGAGCTTATATTTCGGGAAGGTATTAAGTTGTTCTCAGGTTATCTCTACGTATATCCTATCCCGTGGCAACGTTTTTTTCTCCACCTCTTAGTCTACTGGAACCTGTTCAGTTCTTTCCCAAAGCGCAACATTAGTGACTCTGTCATACCATTTAATTCCCTCTATTCTGCGCAGACACCAGTTAATAAATGTTTGTAGTTTATGAACTTTTAGTTGTTCTCCATCTTTTTGCCCCATACAACAGTACTGATCTGCTGGAATCAGATTAAAAAAATTGTTTCTTCAGTGCTCACCCTTAAATGGGCGGCTAGCACACTGTGTTGTGGTTACAGCTAGGCCGCGATTTCTGTGCTTTTTAAGCCCGTCACATCCGATTTCAAGTCTTAATTAGTCAACTTTAATGATTGCTAGTTAGGTGACAGTGACTCTCCCCCCCCCCCCCCCCACCCCACATGCAGACTAGACTGTGAAAGCTTCACAATTCACAACCCCCTGGGAGCATCAGTAATGGGTTGTTTTTAACCTTTTAAGTCAGTGGTTTCAAGCTGGGGGGGGTGCTCAGAAGTTTCAAGGGGGTGGGCCCCAAGCAATTTTGAGATTTCATTAGCACCTGTAATAATATGCATATGTTTCACTAGAACTTTTATCAGTTTTAAAAACACTTGTAAAAACTGTTTATAAAATAAAAAGCCAAGGATGTGTTTGCTTTCATCAGTCGTTTGTACATTCACCATTAAAAATTAAATTAATAATAGGATAACACAGTTCTTGCAAACAGTGCTTTGGGTTTTCCATTGCTGCTCGCTGAAGATGATGATGATGATGTTTTACCAGAGGGTTTGGCCGGCACACTATGCTCAGAGGAAAGGCAAGACGAACATAACCATACTACGAATGGCACCATTAGTATTGAAACTCTGCGCTAGCTGCTGAGGATGGGAACGGAGCGCATATGGGAATGCCCCGGGTGCTGTAATGTCAGTTCTTGACTCAACTCAACTGGGTTTTCCTTTCTGACTCCTTGTTATACCTTTTATTTCAGTGGGGGTGATGGACCTTTATTCAAGGTGACCTGAAAAAGGTTAAAAGGCACAGAAAAAACACAAGAAAATGACCAGGGACTTACCTGCCATGCCATGGCCCTCTCTGTCAGACACTGCAAGGCCTCGCCTTCTGCCATGCGGACGGGAAGCTTTTGGAGTGAGACAAGAAGGGAGAGAATAGTTTCTAGCCTAGGCCGCCGTGAACGCAGACACAGGGGACAGAGAAACTTCATCTCCTTGGTTGTCTGCAAAAGTAATTTGAACCTGTTTAATCCATCTGAGAAAAGTAATACACATGTCTAATAGTACCCCCCAGCTAGAAGGGACAACAAAAGAGGTAAAGGTGGATTCGCATCTATCGGCCAGCTACTGAGATCAGCGTAAGCCACAAATTTCATGCGGAATGCTTACTGTTTATGTTCCTCGGGATGTGCGTTGTAAACGGCATATTAGACAATAAAGGGGTCTGCTTGCCACAGAGTTGGTAGTGTTCCTTGTATAGTAATGCGCGTGCATCTGCTGGTTTGTCTCAACTGCTGCTTCCATAAACTATGAATAGCAATTCTAGTCTGCACCTCTAGTGGCTGCCTTATGCATCTGATGTGTGTGCGCATCATTTAATTTTGCTAGAATTGCTGTCAATTTGACTTTTTATATAGGACAGATATGGCCAGAATGTGGTGGTTTTTCACTGGCAATAGAATGGAGCAATTATGGGATGATCCATTTGTGATAAGTTGGAACCTCCCCATTGACATCCTAAAAATTACTTCTGTTAACGCATTCTGTGGTTCCTTAAGCAAGTGATTTTGTGTGTGTGTGGTGGCAGCTGTTTACTCAAGAGTGATGCGTCAATGCGTGATTTCCCTTTCTACAGTCCATCTCCAGGTTTCCTTAGGTGGTCCACGTCTCGATTCACCATCTGCTATCCACACCCAGCAGAGTGCTGTCTTCGTCAAAGTTTCATGTGGCATTTTGCAAACATGTCAAGCTATCAGCATCTTCTTTCCTCTGATAACGTTTGCCAGTGATGAACATTTTGTTTACCTCCTCAGTTGTTTATCAGATAAGTTTAGGAAAAAAAGATCTTACCTGCATGATGGCAGTCTGAGATGTTTTGCTTTTAATGCCGGCAGACTTTGGGAAGGATACACAGGTTCCTGTGAGATATACAAATACATATGAACAACTGCGTGGTATATTGTATATGTGATAAATTGTTACCAGAGCAAAACAAAAACAGTACAACTGAATTTTCTGAAACGTTGAATGTTGAATTAAGAATCAACACCACAGCACTCTGGACACTCCAATAAGCGCTTTGTCCCCCATCTTCAACAGCAAGCAAAAAGTTCAAATTCCGATGGTACTAGTAACCGTCTGATTTGACATCAGTCTCACCTTTCCCTTGAGTGTTGATCCTCTGGTAACTTCTTGCAACACCAATCTCCTCAGACCATAATGATCTATTTGTGCCTCCACATTGTTCACTCTCTCCCGAAGGGGTTCCCACAGCATCTAGCTTATCATATATCAATTCACCACCAAGTGGTGCAGAACTGCCTGCTTGTTTCCCAATACACAGCATGACCTGGTGTAAATATCCAAAAGAAGATAACTACCCGGGACCTCTGAAGCGATGCCTGCCACTCTGCACAAAGCATGCCTGTCTCCACATTTCTCAACATACTGTGAGTCAGTTCCAATTTCAACGTGTGTAGAGCTGATTCTCAAGCCAACGGAAGGCACCAGTGACTCCACCTTTTCTGAAAGATTGTCATCTAGATGAACATAAAGAATACTGTAGCAGAAGGGAAAAAAAAGGTTTTGAAAAAAAAAACACCTGGGATTTATGCAGTGTGCAGAGAGAGATGTCTTAAAAGAGCTGCCTGAGAAACCAGACATAAAATAAAAAATAAAGCCATGTGAAGGAGACTAGGACTCAACCAGTCATACATTACATTAAAGTTGAACATAGCAGAAGATTTAGCCATCTCATGAAAATACCCTGGTACACAACTGCCACAGAAAACCACATTGAAGAAATATAATGAACAGACAGCAAGGGAAATGGCGGCACACAAAAATTAACAGCCTTAAAGAAATGATGATCAACAGGCAATGCTTTCACAAGAGCACAAAGAAGATCCTTACATCTGCCTCCAGCACTTCCATGAAGTAAATAAGAGAAGAGAAGCAGCAGCATCGTTCATAGATGTTTTGTCACAGTATAACAATGTTCAGTGTCCTTTCCTGGTGCCTTCTATTTTCTAATACCCAGGAGAATCTGAGCATTAGTGAGCTGTCTTCATCGTATGTGGGTTCCTGGGCCTCTTGGGGGGGGGGGGGGGGGGGGGGGCACAAAGATTAGAACCCCCCCCCCCCCCCCCCCCCCCCCCAATAAAAAAGCATGTCGCAAAAAGTTGAATAATTAGGGGTGTATCCTTTACATTGAGAGTGCATCTGCCTGACAGGCCAGGAACCAACAGTCTGCATACAATTAAGTCAGATCTGTAAAATGTATGTGCAAGCAGAACTCAAGTTTTGGAACAAGACCCCAAAAGTCCAGGAGTGGCTAAATAACCATTAGTTTCCACCCGAGTTTACAGCCTATGAATGCTACGAAGATTAAAAAAGAAGATACATATCTTATCACAATATAACCCTTCCCTGCTGCGTTTTCTATTTGTAATGCCCAGAAGAATCTCAGCCCAACTTATTTGTCTTTCCAATCAGGCGGTCAACAGACTCCCCAGGGGGGTTCATAAAACAGACTCTCCAGGGGGGTTCATAAAACAGACTCTCCAGGGGGGTTCATAAAACAGACTCCCCAGGGGGGTTCATAAAACAGACTCCCCAGGGGGGTTCGTGAAACAGACTCCCGAGGGGGGTTTGTGAAACAGACTCCCGAGGGGGGTTTGTGAAACAAATGTAATGGGTTTGTGACATCATCTACAAACAACCCTCAGATAAGATTGCAATCCTTTATGCAGTTCTAATATGTGTTAAACTATAATAAGGTCTTCAGTGCGACTAGTAAAAAGTATGAGATCTGTGGCAGACCTTCAAGATAAACAGCAACAAGAGGGGTCCTTAGCTAACTGGGACCCACTGATTTACTTAGCTGTCTGTCTTATGAGGCTAGATCATATGCACAGAACTGCTTAGTTTAAACAAAATCTTATCCTCACTGGGTGTAGTGAGTGTCTATGAGAGGAATATAGACATATAGGAGCTAACTGAAAAAATAAGAAGCATCAACCTACTAAAGAATATGTAAAAGTCAGTTACGCAGGACGATTGTTCATTTTTATCGTTACAGTTTCGGCTTGTCTCAGTATTCACCTGTTCAGTGTATGATTAATAACACAGAAGGCACTGTCCTAGTCAGTTATATGTCCACAATTAAGCAAATCACATCCTATAGAACAGTTCCATTCTCTCTTCTTGGTTGGTTTTAACACTATTGAGGAATCACTCATTTGTGCATGGGGTCGCATGAGTATATGTTGTTCTTCTTTCAAATTGTCTCTCTGTTCAACCAATGTCTGTCAGCCGGCACTTACATGTAAATTTATAAATACAATCGGATTTGGTGAACAGAGACACTAGAAAGTCTTGGGGCCCCATGTGTTTCTTCATTCCACTGGCTGACCTAAGATGTGACTGCTATTGGGAATAAGTTAGTCAGGTGATTTTGTGTATCCGTGGTTTTGTTGATTTATGTAATGTACTAATGTAGCCTCTGTAGCCATAATGTTCACATTCCATTTTTTGTTTGTTTATGCTGTGGTTTTATATCTGTTCATGATACCTGAAAACAGGTGTATGTGTAACACCTTTTCTGTCATCTTCTGCCTCTTTATTTCAAACTTTTCTGTTGTAACAGTGTACTTTAGTGCTCAATGACTGTTTTTGTTTTCTTTGTGATTTCCCTCTAGGCCAGTGGATCTCAACCTTCCTAATGCGGTGACCCTTCAGTACAGTTCCTCATGTCTTGGCAACCCCTAACCATACAATTATTTTCGGTGCTGCTTTATAACTTCAGTGAATTTATGTTTTCCGACGTTCTTTAGTGACCCCATATGAAATGGTCGTTCGACCCACAAAAGGGTCGCGCCCCACAGGTTACGAACCGCTGCTCTAGACAATACATTCTTTGCCAAAGATACCATCTGCTTATTTCTGGGGATATAACTGACAAGGACAGTGCCTTGTGTGTTATTTACCACACAATGAACAGGTAAATGCTGAGAACTGTCGAAGCTTTAGCAACAAAAATGAACAAATTCCCCCTTTATGTAAACAGAAGGAGCTCATTATAAACTGGAAGTTACCCTGGTAAGTAACATGACTATTGCAAACTTTCTATGATTAGACAATGTATAAAGACAGATCTGTAATTTGTATTTCAGTGGAATCAAGTCAGTTTTTGTGCTTCATTACATGTTGATGTAACTCTGTAGTAATAGATCTGACGAGATACAGCGAAAAATGCCTGGCAATAAATTGTGGAAGGTATTGACTGTGTCCATATTATATAAATTCACTAAGGGAAAACACTGTTTTGAATACACTGTATGTAGAAATATTTTAGGAGGAAGAAGAATTAATAAACTGAATCTCAAATGTAGGATTTTGAGGGCAAATTACACTCACTACAAATTTGGGGGGGGAGGGGGGTGTTAAGGCCCCCCCCCCCCCCCCCCCCCCCCCCCCCCCCCCCCCCCCCCCCCCCCCCCCCCCCCCACAATTACAGACAAGAATTACGAACCATGAAACCAGTCTTTGCAGAGTTCACACTGTAACATGAATCCTGAAGCCTGTTTCCTACACACACAAAATTTAGCTTCACTGTCACGGCGTTTCTCCATATTCTTTGTCCTGAGATCTCTCATCAGTTCAACCTCTTTCACTTCCCCCATCTTGAATGCTGCAACTTGTGTCAGGATAGACTAAGAAAAAGAAAAGGAAAAACATCTCACTGTCTGATGCTGAAGTAACCTAATAATAATTTAAATCAAAGAACATCCACATAGAAAGGATGGCAAACTAGCGTACAACTCTGTTGTGTTTTACTCGACATATTCTCCCTAGTCTGATAGAACCAACGCCTTTGCTATCTACGTGGCTTTGAGATGCCATGCCATGATGGCAGCAACATTCTGCCAAAGATTTTCTACATGATAATAACGGAGGCAGATTTGGCTTGAAAGTACAATCTTATCATCTAACTACCAGACAATTTTAACAACATCCGATAATCTTACATCTTGTCTTTGACTAAATTTATCACAGCAGAAGTCAAACAAGGTCGTCCTCTTCTTCTTCAGCATTGGAATCCCTTAAGCTTCAATCCTCTAGGTATCACCAGCCTCCTTTCATCTCTGTGATCAGCCGTCTCTTTCCAGTCTTCAACTCCAAGTGTTTGTAGATCTACATAAACATTCTCTCTCTCCAGTCTTCTTGGTCTACTTCCATTTAACTCTTTTGTATATGCAGTTTTTGTATGTTATCTGACATTTTTTCTACATGCCCCAACCATTGCAGTTAATAAGCCGTCATGACACCAGTAATCAGTGGTAATTTAAACATGAATTTTACTTCTTCTTCTCATTCTCCAGACTCTGCTGTTTGCATCAATAATTGATCTAATTGTTACAATATCTAAATACCAAGGAATCACATGTGCAGCAGCAGCAGCAGCAGCAGCACAGTAGTATCCATCATCTCTGGCCATGGTATTTTATTCTACAACAAATGGGCACTGTCTCCAATTTTTTCCCTACTCCATTACTTAATATCCAACTAATATTAACAACCCACACATTACTGCAACTTACTGCACTAATGAATCAGAAAATCCAAAATCTATTTTTACTTAGTTTACTATTTTTGTATGTGCACAGAGGCTATTGGTTAAACAAACAAGTTAGCTGCATATAGTTTCTAGGACACTGCTGAATGAACCTCAGTTTGCTGTCTGTTGTTTAATTAGGCAATTTTACAACAGTATTTTGCCAATGCCCTCTGAATGGCTGGCTCTCTATACCATCGTCAAAATGAATGCAAAATGATCTGCTGTCAGTATTTCAGAATTATAAAGCACGTTCACAGAGCCTGAGCCACAGACAGCGAAGTAATAAACTCACTTTCTGGCCTTCATGGACATGCATTAACACTGAAACTATTACACTGCCAGATCAATGCATTAATAGTAAGTTAAACTCGAAGAACAGACTTCATTGCACTAGGTGTTATTCCATATGGCTTGGTCTCCCTCCACTGAACGTATAGCCACTTGCAGAGAGCAACACATAAAACAGGAACTCCACAGCTCCAGCGACAATCCCCCAGGAAAATGGCTTCACCCCTTCGCCGGGGATACTCGCAACATTTTTTTACATAAAATAAAAGCCAAAAGGAATAAAGCCAAAAGAAATAAATGAAAGGGAATTCACCACTCCTGAAGCTCTGCTGTCGTCACTTGCGTAGTCCACAATGCTGTCACCCTCCTTTTTGTCACCTTCTTTAAGACGTTTCTTTTTGCAGCGACCTCCGTTATAAATTCCGATGTCTGTTCTTGGTGACAGCACCTGTGAATGTCATAAACCATAATTCTGTAATGCTAAAAAAATGTGTAAATAATTAAATTAAATAATTTAAACAACTGCTGAGTAGAATCCCTTAGTAGGAACTGGTGAACGGTTGTGGAAAACAGACATTATTACATGGAGAGAGAGAGAGAGAGAGAGAGAGAGAGTTGTGTGTGCACATGTGCATGCGTTGTGTGTGTGTGTGTGTGTGTGTGTGTGTGTGTGAGAGAGAGAGAGAGAGACAGAGGAGAGGTATAAATATGGAAAGAAGGGAAGGGAAGAGAACAAAAGAGTGAAACGCAGTGAGGGGTGTAAAAAAAAAAGGAAGAGAGAGTGTGAGCTAAGGAGAGGGGAGAAATGGAGAAACAGAAACAAAGAAAGAGGGAAAAGGGAGAAAAAAAAAAAGATAAAAATAAGAAGTAACAGATAGAGGTTTTAAAAAATAAAAAACAAAACAAAAAGACAAAGGCAGTTAAGAGTGAACCGATGGTGATAGGGAGGAGGGAGAGAGGGAAAAAAAGACAAAGGCAGTTAAGAGTGAACCGATGGTGATAGGGAGGAGGGAGAGAGGGAAAAAAAGACAAAGGCAGTTAAGACTGAACCGATGGTGATAGGGAGGAGGGAGAGAGGGAAAAAAAAGACAAAGGCAGTTAAGAGTGAACCGATGGTGATAGGGAGGAGGGAGAGAGGGAAAAAAAAGACAAAGGCAAAGATATATATAGACAGAAACCTGTCTTAGCTAGCATTTCATAATGTTTCTAAGCACATATAATCTTTAAATCAAGTCTCAATATGTCATATAATGTCCACATATTATCTTTAAATCAAGTCTCCAGATGTCATATAATGTCCACATATTTGCAGCTGGATCATGGAGTGTGAATATAAATATCAGAAAGAAACTTGGCACCAGTAGGAGGTTTTTTTTTTTTTTTTTTTCTAATTTATTTCTGCTTTATTCAAAGAATGCTGACAATCCATTGGACATCTATGAGGACTGGGGACAAAATATCACACGAGACTAATACTAAACACACTTTCAGATTTTTCTCAACATTATTTTAAACACAACCATGCATCAATAGTTATTCATAGAATCTCTTATTCGTGGAATCTCATATTCGTGGAATCTCTTATTCGTGGAATCTCTTATTCGTGGAATCTCTAATTCGTGGAATCTCTTATTCGTGGAATCTCTTATTCGTGGAATCTCTTATTCGTGGAATCTCTTCTTCGTGGAATCTCTTATTCATGGAATCTCTTATTCATGGAATCTCTTATTCATGGAATCTCTTATTCATAGAATCTCTTATTTATAGAATCTTTTCCACACCTCAAGCAAAGAGTAGGAAGAATTCTTCTTGAGGAAAGTCCGAGCAGTTCTTTCCTTCCAGGACTTGGCTGCTGCAACCTGAGACTCCAGCTGTGGCAGCTGGTCAAGTCGGACTGGGATGGGCCTTCCTTTGGCCACCAGGTTCTCCAGGGTCTCCAGATAGGCATACTGCTCCACACTTTGGACAGACTCCACCTAAAGCAACAGTAGAGAGACAGAAATGAACTTTGTGAAGTGCTTTCAAAACCCAATAAATTGTGACAAAGAAACTTAAATGGAGGGGGGGGGGGAGAGAGAGAGAGAGATTCTATCCCCTCCTCGTTTTGTTAAGCTTCTTACCTGGATTAATTTCTTGGCATTGGCTTGACTGCAATCATCTTGTTTTCTCACTTTCAAGAACCCACATATGGAGAAACCTTAACTACATTTCATTTCCATAAAGTGATTTAGACGACATTAAGTCACCAGTACTAAGTTCGATTCCATCTTTCTCTTCTTCATTATCAGCAGTATTCTCCCTATTTAAGAGCTTGCAGTCTAATCCTGTAATCCGTTGCAAAATGTGCAATCTTTCTGATATCATAAATAGAACCCAGGCTTTAACCTTTGGCCTCTCTCAGCAACATTCTCTTGTAATTCTTTATTTCCTCAATCCATTTAGGTCTTCTTTGCTTGATCCTATTGACCCAGTAATCCTGTCCGATTCGCCACTTTGGCGGGTTTCAAAAACTGACCAGTGGTTCCATCCAGCCTAAAATGGATTCTATTAGATGGTCTGGAAAGTGACGGCGACCAGCATAATATTAACCAAACCATACATGAGCGCTGACTGGCCTATAAAAATATAGAGCTGGCACCATTTCGCCAGTATGTGTCCAAGCCTGGGAAATCAACTTTTATGTTTTCCCTGTGTGGGTTCCCGGGCCCCATTGTGGAGAAAAAAGAACAGCCCCGCTGCTCCGCTAACAAGCATGTGGTAAAGGTGGACTAATAAGGTGTGTTTAGATCAAAGACAGTGCATCTGCCTGAGAGGCGAGGAACCAAGAGTCTGCATACAAATAAACCGGATCTGTAAACGAATGTTCGCACAAAACTCCAGTTCTGAAACAAGACTAAAATCCAGAAGTGGATGAACAACCAGAACACTCCTTCAGAGTTTACAGCTGGCAAACAAAAAGAAGAACTTTTATGTTAAAAATCTGAGAGCCAACATCAACAAATTTGATTTTCTTTACAGATCACCATAACAACTTCTATTACAATGGCAACAATTCCCAATCAAGGAACACTGGTACAGAAGATGTGTGAACGCTGGTGTAGCAAGAAATGTGGGCTCTCCTCCAAATGATGGGTCTGAATTATCTAGGTAAAAAAACCGACCTGTACAAGGCATCAATAGTTGCTTCCATCTGAGTTGCATCCATAACCCTTTAGTTGTTTGAGTGTTAGTGTTACGGCTAACCCTAACTCATTAACATATATATATATATATATATATATGGGCAGGTTTAACATCTACAGCTGCCAGTTTATAAATCGATAATTGCAAATCTGTGTTGGAGCTGATGGTCTGCCTGCCATATTTGCCGGAAATACATGCTACTTTTACACACCATTGAGGCCCTGTTATGGTAATTTTTAAACGCGATCATTCAGACCCATCATTCTGAGAAGAGCCGAAATTTGTTAACCTTGGTACAGCAAGAAATTTGTGGATCTTGGTATAGCAAGAACTGTGTGAACATGTATTAGTCCTTTCAAAATGTCATGCTTTAAAATTTTACATAAATATCTTTAAAAAAATTCCTGTACAGATCAACACAAATTTTGGCAGGTGTTCTTAGATTTCCCATGTCCTTATAGTTTCATAATTTACAACTGCAGTGGTGCTGCTTTTTTCTTTGATCATTGTTGGACTAATCATTTGTGTACTCCAGACAAACAAAGTAACTAACACAAATCATGTACTTTTTTAAAGCTAATGAACAAGCATTATAGCAGTACATGGCCTATCCAGTTAACTATTAGAAATATGTGCTCCTTAGATTTCTCGCAGGAACTACCTCCAAAACATGTAATGTTCTTAAGCCATTTATGGTAAACATGCTAACTGTATGCTTTGTTTTTTCACATACCACAAATAAGGTGAAATAAAAACTAGATGCTTGCTTACATTATTCCCTGTGCGGGTTATGGGACCCCATTGTGGGGAAAACAAGAATACACCCACAGCCTACCCAACAAGAATGTCCTATGAGTCAACCAATGGATGGCATCCTTTGAAGATGGAGTGCAACAGCCTGAGAGGCCAGGAACCAAGAGTCTGCACACAAATAAGCTGGATCTTTGAAATGAATGTGCAGGTAACACTCAGTAACAATACTAACATCCAGAAGTGGATGAACACCCTGAACTTTCCGCCAGAGTTTACAGCCAATGAAGAAGAAAAAGTTTACATTATAATTATTTTCCTATATTTAGTCAGTTAGTCTTTCCTCCTTGAGCCTAGGGTGGCGCATGGGACAGAGGTCATAGCTCTTCATGTCTGGCAGTTCACTGCCACCTGTTTTAGGTCTTGGATGTTTATTACGCCCATGGTTGAGTCTTCCCTAATGATGGTTCAATGCAAAGTGTCTCTTGGTCTTCCCAATTTTCTTTTCCTTTTTGTTGTCCATATTAAGGGCTTAATGGGGAAGTCTGGTCTTCTCCTTTAAGGACATAATTATTAACATATTGCATGCTAAATGTCTACAATTCACACCAAACAGTTACTGAGTTACAGATTTTTAAAGTTTGGTGTTATAGACTATAACACATCTGTGCATCTGAAAGAAGCATAGTAAATGAAACTCACCTTCTGTATCCACTCTTTAGCTTTCTTGACAGCGTCCCTCAGAGAGGCAATGTTGGGCAGGTAAGCAGGAATGTTTCTTGCCTCAGCAATAATGGCCTCCAGGGTGGTCAACAGGTGTCGGGGCCTAACCAGTGACAAGCATGAGGTGTAGAACTAAGGCTCGCTCTTACAGTGTAACTGTGTGACAGTGTAAGCGTGTGTGTGTGACAGTGTAAGCGCGCGCATGCGTGCGAGAGAGAGAGAGAGAGAGAGAGTGTGAGTGAGTGAGTGACAGAGGGGGGGGGGGGGGGGAGACTTACAGAGTGACAATGGCAAACATGAGGTGTAGAGTGTTAGCTTGCTCTTACAATGCAATTGTGTGTGAGTGAGTGTGCAAGCATGCATGTGAGAGAGAGAGAGAGAGAGAGAGAGAGAGAGAGAGAGAGAGAGAGAGAGAGAGAGAGAGAGAGAGAGAGAGAGAGAGAGAGAGAGAGAGAGAGGCTTACAGGCAAAGACAGTGAGAGTGACAATGACAAACATGAGGTGTATATAGCTTGTTCTTACAGTGCACTTCTGTGTGAGGGAATTAATGAGTGTGCAAGCCAGTATGCACATGAGAGAGAGAGAGAGAGAGAGAGAGAGAGAGAGAGAGAGAGAGAGAGAGAGAGAGAGAGAGAGAGAGAGAGAGAGAGAGAGAGAGAGAGACGGACGGACAGACAGACAGGAGACGTAGACAGAGAGAGAGAGAGAGAGAGAGAGAGAGAGAGAGAGAGAGAGAGAGAGAGAGAGAGAGACTTAAAAACAAAGGCAAATAAATGTATAAATATACTTGTGATGATAAGAAATGTATGAGGGAAAGTCAACAAGTAATAAATGCTTATGGGGTGGCAGAAAAATTTAGTTGGTGGTTTCATTAGGTGACAGCAACATAAAACCTTATGTCTCCGTTCTCAACACAGAAAAAAAATTGCAACTGTACTTGCGAATTGTACCCTTAAAAAAACAACGTCCTGTTGTGCATTTGGGGGTCAGGAAATGGGGGGGGGGGGGGGGTGTGCTGCCTGCAAAGGACATTCTTAAGAAAATGCTTCCTTTTTATGCTGACAAATGTTCATCCCGTAAAGCGGTGCTTTGCTGGGTAAAAAAAAAATTCTAAAGGATACTCGACGATTGTTGATGAAGCCTGCTGATTAGAGTACTGCTCCTTTATGACAATGCCAGACCACATTCACTTCTGTTAACTCAGGAGAAAATAACCATCTAGGGTGGGAGCTTCTGGAACATCCACCTTACAGCCCCAACTTAGCCCCTAGCGATTTCCATTTTTTTTGCTCCACTGAAAAACTCACCTTTACAGGAGACATTTCGCGAGTGACACAGAAGTTAAATGTGAAATGAAAATGTGGTTTAAAAAACAGAGCATGTAGTTCTATGCAGCAGGTTTGAGAGGACTGATAAAACAATGGGACAAGGGCATCAATGTTGGCAGGAATGATAGATTAATAAAAGGACAGTGTATGTGTATAAATGAATGGACAGTGTATGTGTAAAAATTAATGGTTTTCAGGTTATCATCTCTTTTTTTTTTTTAAACAAACATTTGTGACTTACTTATTGGCTGCCCTTACATAAATAAATACTTTTAAAGAGAATTTTTCCATAAAAGAAAATTAGTAACCATGGAAATGAGATGTCTGAGAAGGGCTTTAGGAGTGACCATAAGAGATAAGATCAGGAATGAGATCATAAGAGTGCCTTGTGACACCATACCATTCAAAGCATACATGGAAAGAGAAGAAGGACGTAGAGCACGAGGTAGACCAAGAACAAGATGGAAGGATAACATCAGAGAAACTCTACAACAGCACGATGTGCCTATGGTCGAGGCGGCCAGAAGAGCTAGAAACAGAACCTTATATCTCCCTCGACACCCACAGCGGTAAAAGAGGAAGTAAAGAAGAAGAAGAAGAGGAAGAAAGAGAATTTTTATACATGGTTAAAATGAGTCTCTTAGTCACCTTACAAAATCACAGAGGACAGGGGCTCAAGGTATGTTTCAGGATTATTATCCTTTGCCTTCCTTATGGGTAAAGGTGACAGAAAGAGAGAGGTACAACTGCCATAAACCCAAATACTTACCTTGCCTGCAGACAGATCCTGGCCTTCTCCTCCCACCTCTCACTGACCGTCAGCAGCTCCTGAAGCTCAGCCATGGCTTTCTCCACAGCCGGATGAGGTGCCAGACTAACACCTGACTCTATCAGTTTGCGCATCATGTCCAGAGTCACCGAGTTGGCATCTTTCATGGACATGCGTATATTATCTAGCCATCTTGCTTGCTGTAAAACCTGTGAAACATGACACCAGGGACTTTATCAGTATTCACAAAGTATTTAACATGTAATAGACAAGGACAAGCTTCATCTCCAAAAGCTTCTCCCTGTGCTTTTCATTTTTTTCCTAGATTTTTTTCTATATGCATTTCAAGGTCCTTTTTATTTCTTCTGCTTTGTGGATTCCATAAATGGGACTTTCTAGTATAACTATTAACTGCACCACGAACTGTGCAGGTTAGTATGTTTTGCCCCTGACAGAAAACCAACTACTTGAGTAAGAATCTGATGCATGAGAGCCCAGCTTTTAACCCTATGGCCAGCCACTCCTCTCCTAAATCAACTGACTACCAAGCCCGTTAACACTTGCACTTTCTCAAATACCACATTACTATTTAGTGTGTACTAAAATGTCACAGCTTTACAACTATTTAACATAAACTTATAATATTTTGTATTTCTGCAAGTACAAATGCATATAATTTTTTCTTCTTCTTTGATGTCGGTTTCTTCTTTGCGGTCAGTTTGTCGTATGCTCAGATCAGACTATTAGGTGAGTTGCCTCTATGAACTCACGTCAGCAGCAGGTTTCATGGTTTCCCAAAGCTTGCCCTGTACACTTTGCTCTTGAGGCCAGCATTCTTTTCGAAGTTGTAGGCAGAGTGGGCAGGTCTGCAGAATGTGCTCAGGTGTTTGTGGTCCTGTCTGACAGGCACACTGTGGGGACTGTACAATCTTTATTGTATGCATGTGGCAGCTAAGCCTGCAGTGTCCTGTCAGTAGATGGGAAAACTGCTGTATGTTGCTTGCTGTTGAGTCTGCTGATTGGGTCTTGTGGATGTTTACTGTTGGTTTGTTCTCTCCACAATTCCTTGTATTTTCCCTTGAGGAGTGTTTTGATTTCTGGTAATGATAGGGAATGGGTGTGTTGTTTTATTTTTGGCAAGTCTGTCTGCTAACTCATTCCCTGGTATGCCGCAGTGAGCCGGGATCCACTGGAGATTGATTTGTTTTCTGAGAGTCTCATTTAATTTCAAAACTTCTTGAAGCCCCAGTTAAAACTCCATTGCCCTATTTTACAAACACCTGGGACATACTTGAAGAAGCCATGCTGACATAGTGGTTCATGTGCTAGCCTGCAAAGATAGAGGTCAGAGTTCAATCCCTAAAACTAACAGGAATATTTTTATCAGGCATGTCAGTTCTAGGTTTAACCCAACCTCCCAAAAATTGGTACTCGACCATTTTCAGAATGTTATGGCCAGGAAAGCTGGTGAGAAAGTAAACTGGCCAGTTAACTGCATAGACTATGGCATCAAATATGTTACAACCTAACAAATCACATCCCAAAAGCAAAATCTGGAATGGGGGCAGGCTCCTCCTACTGCATTATACATAAACCATAAACCGAATACTAGGGTTCAATTTCTGCAACAGGCAGTTTAAACAAACAAACAAAACTGCTTCCACAGTTTTCAGACAGTAGTTGAGAGTCCCACTGTACAAGAGATTGGTGCCTCAAAACATAATATTTCTGTTTTACACATGCAACAAGTTGTGTTCCTCTGGTTCGATCCCTGAGTGGACAGTTTATAAATTATTTTAGGTTTCGGACAGTATTACAGGTTTCAGCATTGAACAGACTGGCGCCTCACAATCAGAAATATTACATTGTCTTATTTATTATACATTTACACACAAAACAAGTTGTGTTTCTCTGGTACTACGGTTCAATTCCTGCAGTGGACAGTTCATAAACTGTTTTTTGTAGGTTTCAGACAGTAATACAAGTTTTTAGGGTGGATGTTGAATGTTGAATTAAAAACCAACATCATAGCACACAGGACACTCCCGAAAGCACTCCGACCCTATCTTCAGCAGCAAGCGAAGAGTTTACATTCCCATGGTACCAGTAACTGTCTGATTGTACATCTGTCTCACCTTTTCCTTGAGTGTTCAGCATCGGCCAGATCAAATGTAACTCCATGCAGAGCCATTCTCCTAAGACCATAATGATCTATCTGTGCCTCTGCACTGTTCACTCGCTCTTAAGGGAACTCACAACACCTAGCTTACACATAAATTCACAACCAAGTGGTGCAGAACCAACCAGTCTATCTGCCTGCTCATTTCCCAACACACCAGCAGTGTCACAGTGGAAGAGCCTGAGGCCTCACCGTATAATATTCCCAAATATAAAAATGATACACTGAAGCCAACCTTCACAGGCACACAATTTATTTATTATACATAATAACAAAAAAGACAAAACTTGGGCACATTTAACATAAAGCCGCACCTGCTTCAGTTTAGGGATCTCAGGCAGGTCCACATCAAGGCTGATCCCAATCTCTATCAGTGTTTCCACTTGCTCAGAATCAGGTGTCTCTGCATCCAAAGCATCCTGAGCCTCTTCCCGGAACTCCACTACCTTGTCCAGCAGTTCCTAAATCAATACAACAAGCACAGTGAGATTCTGATATCTTTCTAGTTAAAGTGAAAGGTCAAGAGGATCTATTTCATGGACCCAGGTTATCCCCACATGCTCTGTCAATCTCTGCAGAATGACTAACCGCCTGCCAAGAGCATCATAGAAATTGTAGCTCTAGTGGCGATCCCCAGGGATCTCAGCAAAGACTGCACTCTTGAACTGAACGACACTCATAAAATGGAGCCCCCTACCTTCAGAGCGCAAGGTAAATGGCTTGACCACCGCACCATGGAAACCCTAAATGTTTCTAGTGTAGAAATGAATGCTTATGTGGGGGGGGGGGGGGGGGGGGAGGCGAATTCAGAAGCTTTATATTCTACATCTCCATTTTATTTTGCTCAGATCGATCAATCAGTGTGCCCCTTTGGGCTGTTACCTAAAGGTTTGCCATACCATTAGGGGGTGTAAAATATCTGGCAGACCAACAGGGTAGATCCCAGATATCTTGTTTAAACTTCCAAAAAGTTACAATTAGGGCACCTGTAATGGCTACAATCATGTCTACCCAAAAACTGGAATTTAAAGAAAACAAAAATAATGTCCACAGCCAGTTGGCTGTCACCCAAAATAATGAAGAAATTAAAAATTGAAAATATTTTAGCCTCGGCTTTTAAAGAACGTAAGGTGTTTTTTTTTTCAGCTGGTTCAGTATTGCTCCTTCTTGTTAAACTTTTAGCTCAATTAAAAGTTAATACAGCCTGAACATAAATAATTATTCAAAGGTAATTTATTTTCCCCGAATAATTTAGAGAGATATCATCATCATCATGCAGCAGGTCCCTTATGTGATGCCATATCCAAAACAGATTGCCAGAAAGAGTCTAACCCTTGCAAATTCTCCCTAAGGTATTACTAATGTCACAGCCGGCATAGTCTAGACACTCGCCTCAGGCCCAAAGTTAGTGAGTTGAAATCTGCATCGAGCCAGATTTTGTTCAAAACTTACCTTAGCTCTCAGGTCAACCCAGCCTGCAATGGGTAGCAGGTAAATTCGTGGGAAGTAAAGCAGGTAGGAAGGATGTTGACCACATCATACATCATGTGCCCACTGGTCTATAAAAGACAGGCATGAATATATGTCTAGCACTATATATCAATATGCTCAAGGGCATGGAAAAGGATACTTGGTTCCTTTATCAGAGCACGGTGCCGCGTAAGCGCAAGTCGATAAGAGACTCGCTTTTAAATCCAGCTGCGACTCGCTGCAGCCCATGGCCAGTGTTTCAAACCGGGCGGTTCCAGGGGTTCACCCAGCCTCTAGGTAATAGGCACCAGGGTTAACACTCTGGGGTAAATGGAGGAACGTCGCTGTAGCTACGGAGTTGCGTGTGGACGGCAACACGGGTGGACAGTTTCTTATCAGCTGTCCGTACTGGTGGCAGAGCACTTATGGTTTATAACCGTGTGCAATGACGCCTGTTCACATCTCCCGACTTTACCTATACATCAGTAGAGTCCTGTGTTTTCCTTCCATGGTGCTAAACTCCTGCCTCTGCTTCCAAGGACCTGTAAACATACTAAATATATATGTTGTATACTTCAGTTAGCCGGACTTATTAAAAAATGACCTCGGTTTCCAGGTCGACCCAGCCTTGAATGGGTACCAGGTGCAGTCCTGGGAAGTAAGGCCAGCCGACATGATTATGACCTCATCACCCACCAAGTGCTGACTGGTCTATTTAATATAGGTCTAGCCCTATATGCCTAATATACCTGAAGGCATGGATAAAGGGTCCTTTACATTAGTTATACTGTAGACCTCCTTCTTCTTTCTGTTTGCCGGCGGTAAACCCTGGCAGAAATTTCTGATTCTTCTTCCATTTCTGGACTTTAGTCTTCTTCGAGAACCTGAGTTTTGTGTGCACATCCATTTTACAGATCTGGCTTATTGTTATGCAGATCATTGGTTCCTCACTTCAGACAGATGCACTCTTCAAAGGAAACACCTGTAATTAGATTACTTTAACGACATGCTTGTTAGGGGACAGTGGTTTAAACTTTTTAATGGAAGGAAATATGGACTATCTGAGGAGAGTGGTTTAAACTTTTTCATGGAAGGAAATATGGACTATCTGAGGAGAGTGGTTTAAACTTTTTCATGGAAGGAAATATGGACTATCTGAGATGAAGAATATAAGCTTTTTCTGCACTGCACTACTTCTTCTTTTGTCAATATCCGCTTATGCCGCTAGGCGTTGCAGTTCATCAGACGATTGGCGGCCGAGCCAGGGTGAGCTCAGTCTCTTGATATGCTGGTGTTATGCAGTCTCAGGGTGTCAGTGACTCCTTCAATCCATATTCTTCTTAGTCTTCCCCTGCGACATGATGTATCAATTTTCAGGTTGTACGCTCCTGGTGCTGGCATCGTTGGTTTCATTCTTATTATATGGCCGAACAATTTCATTCTTTGTTTCTCAATAAATCTCACGATGAGTGTTGTTCCAACAGTTCTTGTGATCACATCGTTTCTCACTCGATCTCCTCTGATTCATAGCCATTCTAAATTATCTCATCTCACAGGTGGTTAGTTTTCTTTTGTGTTCTTTTGTCAATGTCCAAGTTTAACATCTTAAAAGAGGTAAATAGAGATATTAGAGCCAGTTGTCTGTTTACATGTATGAATAAAGTTTGAGTGTTAGGAAACAGTACTGGTTCAGGTTAAAAACAGAAATTTCACTGACCTGGTTCGAACCTTCTTGGTGACAAGTTGGTTAGCCACACTAGAGCATTTCTCAGCTTCGGTGACTGCATTGATCAATGTCTGCAACAAGTCAGATTCTGGAAACTTCTTCTCTGAAGCCTCTGTGATTAGGTCCTTGAGTGCACACAAGTCTAAAAAAGAGGAAAATGGCTCAGTTCAATAATTTAACACACACAAAAAAAAACTTAAAAAATAAAAAACAAAGATACAAAAGACAGAAAGAAAGGAGAGAAACAGTTTGCAAGAGTAAGAGACAAGAGAGAGAGAGAGGGTCAGAATGACAAGATATGTCCATAAAATCACATTAACAAAATAAGATATGGTTTTATCCTATATGTTTTGGTCTTTCTCCACAGACCGTCTAGCGGCCTGCTGAGAATAAAGTACCCTTTTGATGCCTTAAGATGCATCAAGGCATATGATGCAATCTCCAGATGGCACTTGATAAATGATGTGGCCTACATTATTCCAGCTACCCTTCCCTGTGTGGGTTCTGGGGTCTCATTGTGGAAAAACAAGAACAGACCCACTGCCCCCCCCCCAAAAGCATGACATTAGAGTCAACTAACTGGGGGTTTCCCTCAAAGTCGGAGTGCATCTGCCTGATAGGAAAGGAACCAACAGTCTGCATACAAATAAACAAGATGCACATGCAAAACTCAGGTCCTAGAACAAAGCTAATCCAGAAATGGACAAAAAACCATGTCTTTTCGCCCAGGGTTTACAGCCGGTGAATGCAAACAGCAACATTTCAGCTACCTTTACTTCCAAAAATATTTCCTGGCACCCATTTTAGATTGGGGTCAACCTAGGAGCGGCTTCTTCTTCTTCTGTGCTCGTGCTTAACATAGTAGGTGAAACATTTGTTGTGTTAAAACCTACAACTAAGCTGCAATATCTGTGGCTTTTGGCCAAGATCCGACTTTAGAAAACCCTTAATTTTAACAACATGCCTGTTAGGGGACAGTGGGTCTATCCTCCCTTCCCCCTTTTTCCCTTCCTAAAGTGGGGCCACAAAACATACAACCCAGAAGAACATGACAATCCTGAAAAAGTCACTTCAGTGTGAATTCAATCCCATGACCACAGGACCGGCGAGCAATCCTTCTGGCCACTGCGCCACAATGTCCCAGTAAGTAAAAGATCTGCCTTCCTCCTTAACCCTTTCAATACCAAACAACAACTCCTGCATTTATTTATGCTGCCTGGAACTTTATGCTTTTAAAAAGCTTCATAAATCTCATCGCAATGAAGGACACAATTTTTCATTTTTTCAACATCCCGCCTGTAGTCGGGGGCTCTAATATAACCTAACGCCTGAACGGGGTTTCTGGGATATGCCTGGGTGATCCTCATCCAAATAAAGACACTTTGTGTCAGCGGGTGTTGGTCACTTGTTGTACGGTCCTGGTGGAGTTAAAGGACAGACAGACACTATGTTTTTTTTTCCTGTAGCCTATCCAGATGTAAATAGATCTGGACCACTGTGGCCGTAGATATAAAAAAACAAAAATACAAGAACTGATCAGCACTCATAGAAAGAACCAGAGAGTAAAGAGTACACATTAGACAACGAAAAGATTAAAAGCTATAATTATCATACTGAGTGGCCATGCCTGTAAGTACACTTGTTTCTGCAGCGACACGCCTTTATCGCTTGACAGTGACAGGTTTGATTTTTCGGTATGGTAACTGAAGCTTTCAAATGTTATGTTGTCCAGTGTGTCCTCTTATCTCTATACTTCTTTCTATCAGTGCTAATCAGTTCTTGTATAACTGTTTATTCTATCCAGATGCAGTTTTAGCTTATTATATCCCAGTTGTTGATTCAGGCCCTTGTTGTCCCATAGTGTTAACACTTTTTACTTTAAGCAACTATTGCACAGGAATTGTGGAATCGAAGAAACAGATGTCTGGGACTGAAAGAGTTCAAAGTGCTGCTCTTTTTAAGGGTGACTGGTTTGAAGGCCAATACCTCTGATCTGGTTTTAAAGCCAACACATCCGATTTCAGCAAATCTCTAATGAGTCACCTTTTACAACATGCTTGTTGAGGGGCGATGAGATCCCAACCCCCTCCCCCCATGGGGCCCCGGAACCCACCCGCAGATAGTTAACAAAACAGTAACAGCGTCAGGAAAAGTGCCCGGATTTGTCTGCAGTCTTACCAAGCTTTTCATCTCCTGTTGCCTGGAGAGCATTTCTCACCGCCATATTCCAATTGTCATATGACTCGGCGCGAATCTTCAGTCGGTGTAGCATGCTGGGTAATTCATCCAGGGTGTAGCGGTAACGTAAGACATGCTGGGATGGATGGCAATCACACAGGTCATCCACATGATACAGGCAAACTAGCCGACCTGGTTGATTTAAAAAAAAATATGCACTTCTATAAGACAGGAGACAAATATTTCAACATAATGCTTTCCTGTTGTGAATTTCAATAATGAGGATACAAACAAGGCACTTAACATTGATCCCATCAGGTGTATCACTACAGGATGAAAGAGACAACACACATTTTTTGCTGCGATCGACAAATCACACTGTCTAGCCCAGGGTAAGTTGACTCAGGGGCCAGCATTTTGAATATGGGGATCGTCACGGGCCAGATGCCTGAGCCCCAGCGTCGAAAGATCACTAAAACAAAACGACTGCCAATGATTCATGTGCCACTTCTTAGACCTCCAGGGGCCAGATTTGGCCTGCGGGCCGCCAGTTGACTAGCCCTGGTCTAGCCACACTGTACATCTGTTCGCTGGAAGTTCAAGATTAGCCACATGATTATTATGGAAATTTCAAATTCACCACGTATTCATTTTGCTTCCACAAAGCAGAAGAGTAAATCTGTAATATTTATATATACATACTGAATGAATTTCTAATGCTCAATAACCAAAGAAAATGTTATATTTTTGTCTGTAAGTACTAGATGGGGTAGCTAAAACCCAAAACCATTCAACCCTCCTCAGTAGCCTCTTAAGACATGCTTGGTAGGTTACAGTATTACTATTCTCTGCTTTCCCTAGGGGCCATGAAATTAGCCAGGGAATTATATACCATAACTGCAGCGTACAAGTCGATCTAGCCAAGGTCAAAATCTTTAGCTAAAAATTCTTTGGTTTATACCTACTTAATGCATATAATACCCGCCATAAAAGTCAACCCCTGGAAATAGAAAGATTTTTTTTTTCAGGCTTAAAAACTCGACTAATATACCACAATTTAGGGTGGTTGTGCTGACATGCAAAGATTGTCAATACTTTCCAAATTGAATATTTACTTACTTGGTCGACATGGGCAAGTGACTGAAGACAGAAAGCAGGTGGTTTTACAGATGTCACACTGTCGCTCGTCATCAGGCAACAGTTCAAAAGCTTCCCGTTCAGCATTGATTGTACCCTAAGAAAAAGAAAAAATATATATGTATGTGTGTATGGGTGTTTGATTCTCTGCATGACCTCTATATATCCCAATTTACAATTATAACCCAGAGGGGTTGGTTGATGGTTGTATGTATTTATTACTAGTAAACAGTGTGCCATTAACTGTGCAAATCTTATTTCACATACTGATGCAAACTGGGTATATGCTGTAAAGAACCTCTTTCCACGCCCTCAGGTGTATTGGGCATAAAGGGCTAGACCTTTATTTTATAAACCAATTTGCACTAGGTGGGTGACACAAGCCACTTTTGCTTCCCAGGACTATCCATGGCACCCACTCAAAGCTGGGTCGACCTGGCACCCACTCAAAGCTGGGTCGACCTGGCACCCACTCAAAGCTAGGTCGACCTGACACCCACTCAAAGCTGGGTCGACCTGACACCCACTCAAAGCTGGGTCGACCTGGCAGCCAAGGTTAGTTTTGAAAAAAGTCTAGCTCAGCCAGGTCCCGAACATAAACCTTCCAATCCGCAGGCCAGCATCTAGCCACTCAACCACTATGGCTCCTGTATATATTTTTTATAACTCAACATTTGATACGTTATGTGGTCAATATCATGCTGGAACACTTTTACTTCCCAGAAAATGCTATGATATCCACTTGATGAAACTGGTCAAATTCAGGCTGACCATGGTGGCAGACAACTGGACCAGCCACTGTGCTACCACGCAGCTCATCAGGACAGTGGAGTGAAGAGATAAAGAGAAATATCTGGGTAACCATAAGTATCAACAGCTATAAGACAGAGAAGATGGCGCTGTACTGGAAACATTATGAGAAAAGAAAAACAGAGAATCACCAGACAGGCCCTGAAATAGGTAATCAGGGATTGAGGAAACAAGGGTGTCCAAGAGAAACCTAAAAGCAAATGTTGATGAAAGAAGACAAAGGTGCTGGTCTGGATTCCATCCATGATATTGAACTGATTGCAAAGGATAGAATGGAATGAAGGAATAGACTGCGAGCCCTATGTGACATACAATGGCGCACCAGGACAGTGAATGACTGAACATCAGAAGAAATATCCTCATCAACATCAAGTGCCTTGCCGACTAGTGAAGGCGATCATAGCTCTCCATCTGGAAAGGCAAACCCGGTCAACAAAAGCCTGCAGGATGTGTTAGCCGAAAGGCGCAAATCCATGCTGTAAACAAGCACAAGGCAATTACATCTTCAAATGAACACAGAAGAAAAAGATACTTCCATGACTCGACCCTAAAAAACTGTCAAGAACCCTCTCATACTGTCTTCCTTTATCTCTGTACGACATGATAATTATTCATAAATTATTTATTAGAAAAGTACATCGAAAATGCCTTGGATTACCAAATTTACATGCACATTGGCCGCAGTATTTAAACTGAAAATCAATGGTGAATAAGAGGGTATGGCTTAAAATCGAGATATTAGGCGTAAATATCATCTGTACACAAATTATTAATAAACAATTTTTTAAAAAAGTAAAGGACCCTTTTCCACGCCTTTAGGCGAATAGGGCATATAGGGCTAGACCTATATTTTATAGACCAATCGGCACATGATTGGTGATGTGGTCAGAATCATGCCGGCCACCTTTACTTCCCGGGACTGCACCCGGTACCCACCCAAGGTTGGGTCGACCTGGGAGCCAAAATCTTTTTTTATTTAAAGTCCAGCTCCGCTTGGGAGTGAACCCATGACCTTCCGAATCCACGGTAAGCGTCTAGCCGCTCCTGCACGGCGACTCCCTTAATTAACAATACACATTTTGAAATGTACCTTAAGAAAACAATATTAGCAATTGACGCCAGGGTTGTCTGCCACTGGTTCATGGGGTCAGTTCATGCCATAAGGCGTCTTGCTCAGCCATAATTGGCTTGAAATTCACTAATTCCGATGATGTTTGATAAATGATACATATAAAACTGTAACATTTCCACAGACACAGAAAATTAAATGCCCGTATTTTCTTTACATATTGCATAGACTGGTTTCTTCATACATGAGTTTATCCTTCTTACCACACACACAAAGACTGATGACTCTGGAGGTTGTTTTTTTCCAACAGTATCTTTCATTCCAATCCATCTTCACATATTTGTTCACATCCACAATGAACTTCCCCCCAGCTGCTTGGTTTCCATTTTCTTCTGTATAATCTACTGCTTGAAACTTAAATTTACAACTATAACTTGCTCATACGTAACCGATCTTTCACTGCTTACGGATAATACTGTTACAGTTTTGGTCTCTCAACGAAATTCTAAAATTATTTCTTTCCTAAAATTACTGTCTCCTAAACGGGGTGCTGCCTATACATGCATGCACCTATACGAGTAATTGTGGTATTCTTCAAAAGGACAAGCATACCCTCTTTAGCAGCTCCTTCCTCAGGTCCCTCTCCTCCTCCACCATATTCAACATGTCCTGATGTGTTGCAGCAGCCAGGTTGAGGTCAAGGCTGTCTGGGTCTGCTGCCATCTTGCAGATGAGTTCCTCATGAGAAAACACACACTGGCGGTGAAGTGAGCGGTAATGATCAATGCAAGCTCGGCCAATAGGCAGCTGAAATACATTAGAATACCCATCCTGAATGGTGACATTATGTTATTATACCTTTTAATGATTAGTCTTCAAAAGCTCAAATAGCTAGGGCACGCTTAGAGGATGTAGGATGATAAGAGAACCTAAGGAGATCCTCTGTGGCGAATAACAGATGAGCAGAAGATGGGGTCCGCCTCTATTATGATTTAAGCTGGACATGAATGATACAGGTATTGATGTGGATTCAGGCGAACATGATGCTCATGCTGTATGCAGAGAGAAGATCAGAAAGTGAAAGGTGACTAAGAAGAAACGTGCTTGTATATTAGACAGGCTAGGAACTGGGCATTTCAGAAAAAGCCTGGCAAACACATGTGATGGTGATATGGCCCTGAATTACCACCCATTTACCGTGGAAGGTTTTTGTAACACAATCTAGTCTTGCTAGTCACACACACACACTATTGCCACAGGTAGTACAATACAAAATTTGTGTCTCGAAAAACAGAAAGGTGCCAATAATATATTATAACAATCCAAGGCTCAAACTACCAAATGTATAAAATGAAGACTGTACATTCTCCATGTCGGCAACTGTGGCTTAGGCGTTGCGAACGTGCTTCGTAATGCCGGGGTTAATCCCAACTGCAAGCTGTGCGCCTTGCATTGGTTGTGACTGGTGTTGAGAGCCGACCGTCCAGAAGCAATGGCAAACTACTGGATGTAAAAATCTACCTAGAAAAACCACAACAGCCAACAAATACTGGGTTTGGTTCTGCAACGTCCTGTAAAGGATGTATTTATTTTGTGTGTGTGTGTGTGTTTATATATATATATATTTGGGAAGGAAAGAGTTAAAGAAACATATTCAGATAACACATTTTGGCTACATGGAATGCAACTTCCAAATCAACACAGAAAGTATTGCCTGACCAAGTATCCAGTCAAGCCCATGAAAGTTAACAGGCAGTATGTCATTTACCCTATAAACCAAATAAAAGTTAACATGCAAAATGTCGCCGAGCCGCCAAAAAACTGGACAAAAGTTAACATGTAGTCAGCTGGACAAAAAGTCAACAGGCAACATGTAAATTTTCCAATAAGTTGAACAAAAGTTAAGAGGAAAAATGTCACAGCCAATAAACTGGATAAAAGTTAACAGATAAACTGTCAAGTAGCCATTCAGCTGAACAAAAAAGTTAACAGGCAAAATGTCACTTACCCAATCGGCTGGACAAAAGTTAACAGCCTCTGCAAAGTTATATCCTTGGTTGAAACCAGCATGATATGCCCTCGGGAATGTTACTACAAACTCTCCCGCACATTGGTCTGTGCGAAAAATCTGTGAGAAACAATTGGCAGAATCAGCTAAAATTTGCTTAACTTTAAACGCTCTCTTTCTCCCCATCATTCTTTACCACCCACCTCCCCCTTCTTTCTCTCCATGTATGCACAATTCTTAACCTGTTGACATGTTTGGCGTTTCTGCGAATGTGTTTTGTAATGCCAAGGAACTGGCTCAATTCCAGCTGCAGGTGATGTGGCAGCAGATCATCTTGCGTTGATTTCAAGAGTGGTATCCAGAACTGATCGTTCGGGAAGCAATGGCAAACTGCTAGATGTTAAAGTGCCTAGTGAAATCACAAACAGCAAAAAACAATGCTGGGGTTGGTCCTGCAACATTCTGTAAAGGATATGCAACTACCTTTGAAAATAAAGTTCACAGTCAAGTAGAGATTTGGGAGAGAGCTAAACAAGTTCCAGTGGACCAAGAGGTGAAGAAAAGACACTGGCATTGGATAGGACACGTGTTAGGAAAACCTGAGAATAATATAACTAGAATGTCTTTGTACTGGAATTCCCAAGGTCACAGAAATAAAGGAAGACCAAAACACACATAGAGAAGGGAGCTAGATAGTGAAGTTAAAAGGATGGGGAGGACATAGGAAGAGCTGCATGCGACAGCAAGGGATAGAACGACTTAGGGTGAGTTGGCTGAGGGCCTATTGCTGCACTAGGGGTTGAAAAGGCTAAAGAAAAATACGTCAGACAGGCATTACCTAACAAGGAAAACATTTGACTGACAAACATTTTGTCTGGCACCAAGTGGAGAACACCAAAAGTAGAGCTGAAGTCTAGGCTAGATCCTAAAGTTACAACAACATATTATCATAATTATCCATACACACAAAAAGACAACCTAGTAAATGTGTTTGCTCACTGATCACATCATGAGAAGAAACTGAACATCTGATTACTGAAAATATTTTTTGTGGAAACAGACTCTCTCTCAAATATCCAGAAACCCTTTGGCTCGGTACTATGGATATCGCAACCCTTCGGTATTGATTTCATGATAAGTAAAAAAAAGAAAAAAGTAAAGTTCCCTTTTCACGCCTTTCGGCGCATCGGGCATATGGGCAGAGCGTCCCATATTTTTACAGACCATCAGCACTCTGTGGGTAATGTGGTCAGCATTACGCCGGCTGTCTTTACTTTCCCAGGACAGCCCATCCTGGTACCCATTTTAGGCTGGGTCGACCTGCGACGTCCCATACCACGACAAAAATTCACGCAGCCTGCAGTGGGTTTCGATCGCGGTATGCTGGCTTACGAGTCGGACTCGCAACGCCTTAGCCACGGACGCCGCTGATTCCATGATAGGTACCGTAAATCTGGGAGAAAATGTGGCTTTTCTGCCTACCCCCGGAAGTGAACCCGGACCACAAGGAGTTCGTCACCCGGTCAACGCGCAGTCCGGTTTAGTCAACTACGCTAGAGAGCCGGGCGGAAACAGAGACAGAAGGGGCAATACACGAAGACTGTTGACAGCCTTTCATCATGGCATGGAAGGGGCTTCAGCACAAGAACAGATACCTGCTGTATCACATAAGTAGTGGAGAGGCAATGATTGCCCTCGCCAGAAGGCAGGACACTTGATCATGAAAAAAAAACAAGCCATCTTACAGGCACTCCTCTCTTCATAAGTATATTTGGATTCATGATGGTGGTCAGCTGGTGCAGCAGATCTGGAGCCTGTTCAAACAGTTCTGGTGCTGCCTCTCGCATCACATCTTCAAACTTGGCTGCTGCCCCGCCAGGAACACCATACCAGGACTTGGGCTCGCCCCTACATAAAACACGAAGAAACAATTTAAAACAGGCGTACAATAATGAATCTATGTGTGAGTTCCACAGCCCTTACTGCAAAAGGAGAAAAGAACAGAGCCCACCCCTCCCCAGACCTAAACAAGCATGTTGTAAAAGTCATCTAATCAGTGGTGTTTCCTTTGAAGTCGCAGTGCACCTGCCTGAGAGGCAAGTAACCAACAGTCAGCATAAAAATAAGCCAAATATGTCAAACGGATGTTCAAGCAAAACTCAAGTTCCAGAACAAGACTAAAGTCCAGAAGAGGGTGAATAGCCATAACATTTTTGCCAGAGTTTACTACCAGTGAGCAAGAAGAAAAAGAAAGATATACAGATTGAAGAATTGCACAAAACTGCATCCCCTTCTATTTTCACAGAATGACTAGACAGCGGCTGAGGATGTTGCACGATGCACAAACTATGTAGTTCCTTAGCAACCATTAAAAAAAGCTGCATTTATGACCCAGTATGAAAATAAACCTGTGACCCTCAAAACAAAACTGCTGATAGAGACGTCTGGCGATCTCTCTAGCAAACGTCTACACCCCAAGATAAAGGTAGAATAAGTAAGACCATCAAAATACAAATGGCTTAACCACTTAGCCATATTTATACCCAAAAGGCAGTCTATTATAGTTGCATGTCTATCCTCCATAAACATACTCTAAAGTTCATTTACTGTAAATCTCAACATCTAACGTCTTATTCTTTTACCCTACTGCTTATGCTTAAAAAAACGTTGCAGAAAGGAGTTTGTAGTTTGTACCATCTTTTGCTAGTTGCACAGCTTGTGTTAATGTTCGAGTAAATTTCTGTAGTGTCTCTTTCACTCCCTCCACCCATCTCTTTCTTGATCAGCATCTTGACTGGTAGCCTTTAACAATATTTAACAAAATGCCACAAAGAATACACAGAGTTTTTTTATATTCTCATATATTTAAAACTGTATTTTTCCTCTTACTCCCGCCACCCATTCTTTTTCATGGTCAACCTCTTGAGTTAACATCATTTAACAAACTACCACAAAGAATAGGCTGGAGTTTTTCTCTTCTCATGTGAGCACAAAACTGATGGGAGCCTATTAAAGTAAAGGACCCTTTTCCATGCCTTCAGGTGTATTGGGCACACAGGGCTAGACCTAAATTATTATAAACCAATCGACACTTGATGAGTGATGTGGTCAGCATCATCCCGGCCACCTTTACTTCCCAAGGCTGCATCCTGTTCCCACTCAAAGCTGGGTCGACCTGGCAGCTAAGTTCCTTTTTTTTTTTTCAAGTCCGGCTCCGCCAGGACCCAAACCCATGACTTTCAGATCCACAAGTGAGCGTCTAGCTGCTATACCATGGTGACTCCCGACAGCCTATTACTGAAGTTCATAATTATCCCATGTCTTCTTCTTACAGACCAAGCAGTATGGTGTTGCTAACCAAATCTGTGCACAGCTTTTTGTTTTGTCTCCTGTCAATCATTTCTGATGCAGATTTCTCCCAGGCCAAACTGACCAACATTTTCGGTCTTGGTCTCCCTCTGCCTCTCTTCTCCGATGGGTGATGTGGTCTTGGGGCATGGTGCCTGCCTTGAGTGTTGGAGTTCCCTATTTCAGGAAGGTTAGGATTTTTCATGTGGACTTTAGCAATTCGCCCTGGTCTCTGGGTAGTAAGATGGGACGCCCGTGTGTATTGTTGTGAATGTAAAGAATCCCTTAGCAGTTGGAAATTAAAAAAAAACAGTAGCCTAATGGCGCTGCCCAGACAAAATTTAGAGTTAAAAATCAACCTAAAGTATTTTAGGACGCTAGCCGGTGTTACGAAGTTCGTGCACTGAGCTGAGATTCTTCAGACTCAGGGTTGAGTCAGAAGTAGAACGGAGCACTGATGGGTTACCACCCTTGTGCCATGATGTTGATCCCTTGTTCAAACAGAAACAGATATTCCCACAATCTTCTCATCACGACATGTCCAAATTAGACTGCTCTATACTATTGTGGGCAATCAATCCCCGTGTCCTGACATCTTTCATAATATTTGGAGGGGGGGGGGGGGGGGGGGGGGGGGGGGGGGCGTCCACAGAATTTTTCTAAGCAGTCACACCTCTGAAGACTTTTAATTCAAAGAGATGTTTTGTCCTCAAGCAGATACAAATTACTGACAAATATGAACGCCAGTGGAGCATCACAAGACAAGACTCACCAATGAAGATAGTTTATGGAATAGCTCCAGTGATCCTCAATGTGCCAGCAGAAACTGGAGAAGCACATGCCCACATAGCACCATGGCACCTTCATACCAGAGATGTCAGCGTTAATGTGGCACAGGACTGACTGCTCCAACACTGGCAAGTTGTTCAGGTTCCAACCAGAAGTCACATACTCCTGGGAAAAAAAGGATAATAAAGGCTGAACTATCTGGTGATCTATGCCCACCAATGGAGGTATGGTACTTCTGATTATTCTTCCACTAGCAGCTTGGATGTTGTAAGAGGTTTTCCCTGGCCTGGCAAGTGTGGTGAGAGAAAGAGATACCAGTCATTATCATCATGTAGCAGCTCCTTTGCAGAAAGTCGGTCTCATCACAGTCTGCCTGAAAAAAACTCTCGCCAGTTCTCCTGCCTCATATACTTTCATACTCAAGGAGTATGTGCCCATCTTCGTGTTGGTCGGCCCCTGCCCCTCCTTCCTGGTACCATGCCTTCTGCAATAGTTTTTTTCCAATCCGTTGTGGCGCTTGATATGACCAGTACAACTAATAAAAACTTAACTACTAATAATTTCTTGCACATTAAATGAATGGTACTGGAAAATATGGTACTGGACTAGCAAGTTATCATCAATAAGTAGGTCCTTTACAGAATACTGCCCTCGTCACAGCATGCCTGAAAGTCTCTCTTTCTCTAGCCCAATGCATCAATGTCCTGTACCCACTTTCTCAGAGGTCTGCCTCTGCCTCTATTTTCTAGAAAATTTACCATTCATTACTGTTCTTTCCAGGCCACCATGAGGTTTAATGTGGCACAAATACCTCAGCTCCTGGGGCAGGATGCTATTTATGAGCCAATTCTCCTCAATGCTCAGATCATGTAGGACAAAGCTATTCAACTAAGTTTATTTAGGGGCCATAATTTTACAAATGAGGAATGTCACAGGCCAAAGGTCCCAGGTCCAGCATGCAAACATCATTACTACAATACAACTGGCAATGATCCGTGGGCCACTTGATAGGTCTCTGAGGGCCAGCTCTGGCACGCGAGCTGCTAGTTAAAAAGCCCTAATGTATGTCCGTTTTTCCCTTCTTTACCATCTACCGCATTCTAAGAATTTAACTAGCAAGCAGATAATATACGTCCGCTGCAAAATATAAGACTTCTAGAGCAAGAGAAGAAGCAGCAGAAATTTTGAGTCTCTGTCATTTTTTTTAATTCAGTGGGGTGAGCCTTATGAGAAAGGAAGTGACGACTAAATATGAATGAAACAAAGAATTAACTGCTTTGACTATGATAATCAATGTTTTATTGACCTAGCCATGTGGAGCAAAGTGTCATAATGAGATTATTATGTAGCAATGATGTCACAATATTACAAAATGTCATTTTTTTTTAACCCTAAATAATATCTACTTTTTATTATTATTTTTGGGGCTAAATATAATTATACCCGCCATGTCTGCACACTGTGCAGCAGCAACCAGTACCAAAGCTGTTATGCAGGTGTGATTATTGTCAAAAGACTTCATTTCATCCAATAACCCTAAATGCCGGAAAAACAACTTTCTCGGGGTGACAAGGTTTTTACCAAGCATATACAGCAACCAACAGGTTTCAGCTCTACAGCCAACATTAATTATATTTTCATACAGATTTATATCAAAATAGCTCATTCCTATTAAAACAGGTTTCCATAAACATGATACAGAAATATAGATACATATTACCAGAGTTTTCTTAACATATTTTAATCACATACTTTATTTTTAACATACTAGGCTTAATCAGAGATTATAAATACCGAACACAACCATCTGGAAACAGATATTATCAGTAAAAAGAAAAAAGTATGATCCCTTTTTACACCTTTAGGCACATCGGGCATATAAGAAGAGCACCCATATTTTTTACAGACCAATCAGCACTAGGTGGGTAATGTGGTCAGCATTATGCCGGCGGCCTTTACTTCCCCAGGACATACATCCTGGTACCCACTTTAGGCTGGGTCGACCTGCGACACCCCATACCACGATAAAAATCCATGCAGCCAGCAGTAGGTTTCGATCGCGGTACGCTGGAGTTACAAGTCATACTCGCAACACCTAAGCCATGGAGTCAGATATTACACTAAAGAACATTTTTATAAACAGATATTATCCATAGTAAACAAGATTTTCTATACTTAACAAGATTTATGTAAGCAGAGAAGATCTATATTAAACAATATGTCGCAAAGATTATCTATTTATATAGTGAATATGATTTATATAAGCAGAAATAATATATATTGAAAAAAAAATGCTGATCTCAACAGATTTTATTCATGCACATACATTTCCTTCATGAGACTATTCATAAAAATATTTCCGGCCGAGAATGACCTACAAACAGAAGCCTGAGTAGCACTAACCTCATCCTCTGGGAGCAGATCTTCAGTATTTTTGGTGGGAAACCCACTTCCCATTTCCATGGCATGAATGTCTGCACCATACTGCACCATCACATTCTCCTCCAAGCTGCTCACCAGACGCCAGAACTCACGCTCCACCTGGCCAGTTGTTACTCTCTGTATTTTAATAAAACATGGCAGTCATGAGTGCAACCACATCGTACTTTCACCTTAATTAGTTCCTTATATATTAAAACTGTGATAATAACAATATTTTGAAAGACATGATGAAAACAGGGATGACTGTAGTCAAGCAGGTATCAGGAAATAAATTAAGTGAATACAAGCTATAACTAGGTAACTAGGCAGCTCAGTGAAGCAAGGGAGAAAAAGCATGTAGATTCCTGTTTGAGTTCTAGGACTGGATAGATTCTGCAGCTAAAGTGTTTCAGAGAATGAGATAATCTCACACAATCGGAGCAGATTGTGAGAAATGGGAGCAGAGAAAAGAGACACAAAGACAGAGAGAAGATGTCTTTAATTTTGATTCTGGTACAGGTACATTTTAATAAATGAGTTGATACAGTGCCGGGTCAGTCCCACTTAGCGGTAAACTGATGCAGGACAAGCCAGATGTGGCCAAGTCCCTCTGGAAGCGAGAGAACAATGCAGAAACAGATCACCATGGTCTAAAAAAGAATGATGCATCAAGCACTGACTAGGGGATCTGGTCGCCACTAAACATTCAGAGTCATAGGATCAGACCGCTACTCGTACCATCAGAACTGGAACTCTGCTCTAGCTGCTGAAGACGGGGGCAATGTATTTATGAGAACGTCCCAAGTGCTGTGAAGTCAGTTCTCAACTCGACTCAGTGATAAAGATTGTAAGTTGTGGAGAGACATGATCGCCCAACCAGTCGGCATGAAACTTTATGACAATATGCATAGTAGCTTGACTACTCCACCAGAAAAATCTACCTGAAGTGATTCTGAATACACTGGTGTCTCCCTGTGTGGGTTCTGGGGCCCTGTTATAGGGAAAACAAGATTAGACCCACTGCCTACTCAAAAGCATGTCGTAAGAGTCGACTAATTGGGAGCTTCCTTCGAAGTCGAAGTGCATCTGCCTGAGAGGCAAGGAACCAACAACCAACAGTCTGCACACAAATGAGTCAGATCTGTCAAATGGATGCACACGCAACACTCAGGTTCTGAAACCCGATTGCAGTCCTGAAGCGGACAAACAAACAGAACTTTCTGCCAGAGTTTACAACCGGCGAACGCGAAAAAGAAGAATACACTTGCAGAAAAGGCTGTCTTCAATATCACTGATAACAAAAGATACAGGTATGGCTGTCATAACCAGTTGTTCATTCAACCTTACTGATCGAAAGAAGTTGCATTTAATAATTTTAATATCTCAAAAATAAGGTAATAATAAGAGTTAAAATAGCAATTTGGATACACTGAATTAATAAAACAAAGATTTGGGACGAGCAGAGAGAAAGAAAATATCAGAGAAAAGTATACATGTATAGTGCACTGCCTGGCACACACACAAATTAATAAATAAGATATACTCACATGAACAGGCATTTTGAAGTAGGAAGCCTTGAAATGATCAGCCATTTCCCCAAACGACTGGAGAGTATAGTCCCTCTTGCTCTGATCAAAACCATAAGGTTCTAAAGGTTTGCTGATTGCCTGTCCACAACAACAATACACATGAAGTTCATGGCAATGAAATACAGCTCATTTTTAATTAACATCCAGGTTTCCATTAAAATAAGACCTAAACCCAAAACAAAAACCCTAGTACAACTTTTCCAGGATTCTTTTAATATAAGCCCTACCCCAAAAATAAGCCTGTGTTGTGTTACCAATGCACTATGAGTAAGCTACATGGACAAGAAATTTAAGAAAAGCTTTATTGCTGAACATGAGAGACAGGTGCCAATGGTTCTAGAAAACAACGGAGTCGCAAATTCAGGATTTAGAGAGTTATGACGATGTTCCAGAAGAAGATAACAGGACTGTATTTGAATAAATGTCGAATTTTGTACATACATAAATGTAAACTGTTATCTAAAAAATAACTAAGACGACCCTTTAAAAACAAGCCCTAGTACATTTTGTAAATGGGATATTGTATTCTATCTATCTATCTACTTTTCCCCAACCAGGACATCACACAAGCGATAAACACCTGATGACACAAAGTGCCACCACATGGATGAGGATCACCCGTGGAGAGGTCCCAGAAACCGCATTCAGCCATTAGACCATATTTATGGTCGGGCTATATTACGGTCTCTGGCAATAGCCAGAGTAAGGCTTCAAACAACAAAAAATTGCATCCTAAATAGGGATGACAAGGTTTGGATATTTCAATATGAAATGTAACAAATGGTGACAGTTGGGATTCTGTAAATCACTGGTTTCCAAATGTGTCGGGCCCAACGCCCACTTTGTAATAAAAAAAAGTTTGAAAAGTAAGCAATAACTATGATTTTAATCTGTTACACTAGAACTAAACCAGAAATCATTACAAACAGTTTACCAAAATGCTCTCTCTTAAATGTGTACCTTAGATTTATACTTTTGTGTGCATATATAAAGGGTTATGGCCCTTGGAAATAAAGTCATTGTATTCATGTCCCTTGGTTTGGATGTAAATCTTTTTGAGTAATATGTTAATCGAACCGCAAATCATTTGCTGGGTTCACAGGGTCAAGGACTTGTACAGCCAAGCCGTGCAAATGAAGGAAAACCATGGGGAAGTTCATTGATGAACGTAAACCTCGGTATGATAAGAAGGGCTCGGGGGGATGAACTGTGTCTTATTAGAGGCAGTCGACCCCACTCCACGAAGTCCACAAAGACGATGAGTTGACTCTACGATGTTGGAGAGGAAGGACGCACTGACAGAGTGAGTCCCTGAGAACTGATGTTATTATTATGTGTGCACCAGAAGCGTGGGATGAGGAAGTTCGGGTGTGACTGTATGTTCTATTCTGGGTGTTGCCAGACTAGACTAGACAAGTGTTTCACGCCTGGCAGTGGCATCACTTGCCAAGCTATCAAGAAGTCACATGCCAAGCTTCCTTAATCTAATCTTATGACATGCATGGCAGGTTACAGTATTATTATTTACTGCTTGGCTTGGTAATATATGGTCACATTTACATCTATCATGAAACAAATTCACCCAAATGTCATAATAAAAAAAACAAGCAGCTAAATATTTCTTTGAAATTTAAAACAGGCAAACAAATGCGAACAATTTCTGAAAAGAATGAAGAACTGATCATAAAAGGGATATAAAACAATTTGCCAGAACATTTGATTTTTAATTTAATTTCCATTTTTTCTTTAAATCAGAAGAAAAAAAATTACAGCAAACAAGGTGTTGAACAAAGAAGAGGAGGTGTACGACGATGTATCAAAAAGGTTACCTGTTTGACACACGATGGACACCGCCAATCACCTTTGGGCACCTCAGAAAGTGGGGGGACCAGGCAGTAAGTGTGAAATGCATCATCACAACCATCGCATAAAAGCATTTGGTCTTCTCCGTCACCCCGACCACACATGTGACAGTAATACTTATCAGCCTGCTCACCAAAAACAAAGACAAAGAATTTCATTTCTTGCATCGTCAATCAGAAGGTCCAAATAAAGAACGTCACATTCAGCATGGCAAACATTAGTCTCCTCTCTCAGGTGGATTTCGAGGGCCCTATTGTGGGAAAAGCCAGTACAGACCCACTGCCTGCCTAACAAGCATGTCATAAGAATCGACTAAATGGGGGTTTTCTTCGAAGTCGAAGTGGACGTGCCTGAGAGACAAGGAACCAACAGTCTGCATACAAGTCCACTTTTCTTTGAAACTCTATCCTAAGAAACTAGAGGAAAGAAAAAGCGGACACGTTGAAGTCAGTTTTTAAAAATCCCAGGGGGTTGAAACCTATGATCACAGAGCAGACCAGCAAACCTGAAAGACATCATTTCATCAACAACCTGTAGAAGTCGCCCCTGACCAACAGGGTTAAACTTTTACTTATACTAGATCATGACATAATGTAAATTAAACACAGCAATGAAAGTTGAACGACTAGTGACAAAATTATTCTGAAGTAGCAGAGATGTGGTTTTATGCGAATGATGAGAATAAGATCAAAAAAGTAATAAAGATGTCTTGTAAGAAACTGACTCCTGAAGAAAACTGACTGCCACATCAGAAGGAGACAATCTACATTCTTTGGTCACGTCATGAGGAGGAGAAAACAGGAATAAGTTGTGACACTGGGAAAGTTGGAGGGGAAAAGTGTCAGAGAGAGAAGATGCTGACAATCTGATATCCTGGCATGGAAGTCATCAGTGTCAGAACTTACAGAAAACAGAAGGTTGTGGATAGACATGACTACCAATGCCACACAGCATTTGTTTCATTTTTGTAACTCATAAAAATTAATCCAGGACCAAGCAACTCATACTTCACTGGGGCTTCTTTCAATGATATGTCAACTCCTTCATCAATTCATTATATCCCAACTGTTGATTCAACTCTTTTACATCTCTTAAAAATGTTATTTGAACAATCTTAAATGTAGAGACTAGTACCATTAGTATTGGAACTCTGCACTGGCTGCTGAAGATGGGGAGGAAGCGCTTATGTAAATGCCCGAGCACTTTCAATTCTTGACTCAACTTAACTGAAATTACTTCTTATTTTTTTCAATAAATTTTTAAAACAGAAAGACATGAACAATGTTTGCCTGGGACTGAAAGAGTTAATTTAACTCAGAACTCAATTTAACTCTTTTGAGTCCCAGAGGGTTTAGCATCACAGGCCCAAGGGGTAGTAAAGAGAGTCATAAAATCGGTGCATCAGGCGTTCATTCAGCTTCTAGGTAGGAACCTATGTACTTATAATACGTTCCTTGTGGTTCAAAGAGTTAAAGGACTGTTTCAATCAAAATGACCAGTAAGTTGCTCAGTCCTTGGACCAGTTTTAATGCTTTCTAAAACAAATATCTTTTTTTCCAATGAGTACTTTAATTCTGCCCGTGACAGATCTCAAAAACAAACACATTCCTTGGTAAAAATCATCATGGCTACAAAGATTTTGCCTTTCACAGTAAATCTTGTTAATGGATGTTCATGTGTTAAGTTAGGACCAGCAGTGCTATCTTTCTATTTTAAACAGCTATCATTAAAAAAAAAAGTTGACTGCTTGTACTTTACAGGACGTTGCAGAACCAATCCCAGGCTTCACTAGGTAACTTTACATTCACTAGTTTGCCCTGCTTTATGAATGGCCATCTCTTGATACCACCACAAATCATCAGCACCTGGCATCGAACCCAACACCGTGGAATTATGAAGCGCATTCACAACACCTAAGCCACAGACGCTGATAGTGCCAACATATCAGGGCTAAATTAATTCATGTATCAACTAAACGTTCATTACCTGATGCCTGCGCAAAATATAAGTTAAACAGAATGAAAGAATGACCAATGTCTTTTTGTTCTTCCTTCCTTAAAAGGGCAGCTAGTACACAGCAATGTGGTTTACAGCTGGGCTGTGATATATGCACTCAACACACCCATTTGCAGCAAACCCTTAATTAATTACGTTTTTTTCTATATGTTTGTTAAAATTCTTAGAATACTGAGGACCAAGAAGAAAAATATCGACATTCTGCTTGACCTGAACACCAAGGAGAACTGGCTCATAAACAGCGAGGTATTTTAGATATGCCAGGCGCCATGGTGGTCTGGAGAGAACGGTGATGGAAAGTGCAATTTCTGAAAAACTAGGCAGAGGTCGATCACTGCGAATATGGATACAGGACATTGAAGATGCACTGGCTATGAAAGCACACGGGGCTGAAGAACTGGCTAGAGAAACTGTCTGTCATGCTGTGAAGACAGCGATGTTCTGTAAAGGATGTGCTGATTGATTGATTGTTAAAAAGACGGTGAATCTATTTCTCCCCCCCCCCCCCCCAATTACAACATGAGTCCCCAGAACCTATACAAAGAAAATTACTAATGTCATGCCCCAACCATCACAATCTATTAGCCTTCATGATGCCAGTAATAAATAGTTATTTAAACAGATTATGAATTTCATTGTTGCTTCTCACTCTCCATTCTCTGTTCTACACTATGCTCAGAGGAAAGGCAAGACAGACATACAACCAGACTATGACTGGCACCATTTGTATTGGAACTCTGCGCTGGCTGCTGAGGATGGGGTGGAATATGGGATTGGCCCGAGTGCTGTGATGTCAATTCTTAACTCAACTCAACTCTGTTCTAAGAAAACAATGCTGCTAAATAAAGATGGGGGGGGAGGGGGCGAATACTGTGAAATATACACTGGAAAGAGAAACACAGAAAGCCAAACAAGGAGATACACAGAGGCATGTGTTATCTGCAGCAATGAACCTCGATGGTTTGAAATGCTGAAGAAGAAAAAGAAGAAGTATACACTCCACAACCTCATACCCCAGAGTAAGCTCCAGGTATTGCCATTTTCATTCGACTTTTCCTGTTGTCAATTTTCACCTCTTTCATTTCAGGATCATCTGAAAGTTAACACAGGAAGCTGTTATTTGATTTCACAAGGGGAATAAAGTACATAATATGCTGAACTCATTTAACAATCAAAAAACTTTTTCAAAAAAAACTTAACCAGGCTACCCAAGTTAACAGCAGCAGCAGTGTAACAAAAAACAAAAAAGAACATGGCATGAATTCGCTAGCTGTTGTGGCACAAATCCCCTGCCCACATTGCCTAAGAATATTCAGTGCCAGTACTGTCCTTGTTAGTCACTTCCATACCTATAAACCCACAGAGGAGTGAATTGGTTCTCTATTTAACAGAAGAAAAGATTGGTCGACGTAACCTGTCATAGACCAACAACAAAGAAACACAATCACCCACTTTAACTCAACCTGTGTAGCTGATAATAAACTAAAGAAGTTAGTTACGTATCCTTTACAAGACATTGCAGAATCAACCCCAGCATTTTTTAGCTGTTGTGGTTTTTCTAGGCAAATTTACATCCAGTGGTTCGCCACTGCTTTCTGGACAGTCAGTTTCTCGACACCAATGATGAAACCAGCATTACGAAGCGCATTAGCAACACCTAAGCCATAGAAGATATAGGTATAACATCTATCCTGATGTTACAATTGAAAATAATGCATAAAACCAACCTTTAGAGCCTGGGACAGCAGCTTTAGGACCTGCACCAAAAAACTGTAACTTCCTAAGTTCATTGTTTTTACTGTAGTCTATGTCGGATTCCTGTAACAATAAACAGTCACTTTAGACACTAAAAAACAGAATCACAAATAAGTTACATAGATATTGTTCTCTTGTTAAAATGTTGCAGGAAGTAAGTATTCTCCACTCTTTCATGTCTATCTTTTTCTTCGAAAGCAGGTCTGCAGGACACCCAGATGTCGGATATGTAAAGTCCAGGAATTAATTTAGGCTGGTCCTGCCAGGGCAACTGGAATGAAAAGTTTTACCAAACACAGCATGCTAATTATAAAGCTGATAAACTGTGCATGGCCTGCAAATGTTTTAAATAATCCCCACAGCCATTGGCAGAAACAAGGTTTCCCCGCCCTCGTCGTTCCAAAACATACAGGATTTTGCAGCTATCCCAAGCCATGTAAATTTATCTCTATCCTTGATGTTACAAAAGCTCTTCCATTGGTGCGTGTTTAAATGGAGATGTTACTATCTCCAATTACTTTGTAGATGTCACCTTGGTCTTTTACTTTGGATTTTTTGAGTGTATTCTGCACAAAAAGATTAAACAATATTAATATGTTGGATCCCAGCAAAGTAATATATGGTTCACACATTTATAACATCTACAGTGGCATGAACATTAGTGTGCCTGCCTGAGAAGACAGTGGCTCATGTTCAAATCCAAGTAGACGTGAGATGCCCCCCCCCCCCCATTAAGGGCATTAGGGCTGACCAAGTGAATAACCCTTTTTGTCCCCACGTCTTCAGATGTACTGGGCACATAAACCTATATTTAATAAACCAATCGGCACTCTGTAGGTGACAGGATCAACACCACGCCGGCCAACTTTACTTCCTAGGACTTTAGCTGGTAACCATTTAAGGCTAGGTCCACCTGGGAGCCAAGGCCATTTTTTTTAAAGTCTGGCTCCGTCAAGACCTGAACCCACGACCCTTGGATCCACAAGTGAGCATCTAGCTGCTACATTATGGCCACTTCAAGGGTTGACCATGCATAATATAACTGGAAGACAACTTTTATCAATTCTGAAAGGGAGAGCCAAAAAAAAGACAGCTAATTAGTACCCATCTACACGACAATGGACTGCAGGTTACTTCGTAACCATATCATTTTATACATATATTAAGTAAAGTAAAGTCGGGAGATGTCAACCAGCGTCATTGCACACGGTTATAAACCTTAAGTGCTCTGCCACCGGTAAGGACAGCTGTTAAGAAACTGTCCGCCTGTGTCGCCGTCCGATGCAGCTCCATAGCTACAGCGACGTTCCTCCACTTACCCCATAGTGTTACCCTGACACCATTACCTAGAGGCTGGTTGAGCCCCAGGAACCGCCAGGTTTAGAACACTGGCCGTGGGCTGCAGCGAGTCGCAGCTGGATTTGAAAGCGAGTATCCTATCAACTGCGCTAACATGGCCCCCATATATTAAGTGTAATGACATGATGCCTGTTTACAGAAGATATTCATACCTTTCAGCTGAGACACACACGGTTACTTTAGGGCATTTGCTGGCGCAGTTAATTAACTCTGTGTTTGCTCTTTACTCCATACATGTCCTTTACAGAAAAAGTTAACATTTTCATGTAATTATGACTATCCATCTTCCAAAAATTCCTCTGCGTCTCTGAGTTATGAGCTGGATTATCTTCACAGCTCTCCAGACATGTCCATAGGTGCTCAGACACCCCCCCCCTCCCCTCCTTTCAACATATTCATCATTGTCGCGCGGTTAATAATGCCAGTCCTATGCTGGTTGAAAGGCTTTATGTGCCTCTCATGCTTGGCTGTGCCGATCTTAACTCCCTATTCTCATATTCTTAGCACTGATGTGGACATGCTGCTTCAAAAGTCTCTACTCTAAAGAGTGCAATTATACAACAGATCCCCAAAATTCTTCTTCTTCTGGTGACATCTGGTCATGCAATTTTTCAGCTGTTTGGTATAAACTGGGATGTCAGCTGAGGGCAGAGGGATCATTCTGAACCCATGGATCTAGTGCCACATGGCTCATGAAATTACTACAAAATATCCAGGCTGGAGTATAAATTTTTTTTTGTCCACAGAGACAGTGCAGTCAACAACACACCGCAGTCAAAATAGAGAGAGAACAAAATTGACATGAAATCCACAGCTCAGTGCTGCATCAAGCAATCAACTCAGTAGCTGGGCAATAGAACCTTTCGGCTCCTGGTCCAGAAATGGGGAACATGCATCAGCAAAAACCCAGCTGGTAACAAATAACTTTTCGTAGACCGGAAGTCCCTGAAACACAAAATCTTTACTAGGGATTTAAACTGGGTAACTCAAATAAGCTTCAAGTATTCAAACCACTCATCCACACACTCTTCAATAAAATAAGATAAGCTAAACTTCTTAAAGTGATACGTTAATGACAAAGTCACTCATGAGGATAAATGCTCAGATAAACTCTACGTTTTCTTCTTCTTCTTGGCATTTAACAGCTGTAAACTTTGGCAGAAAGTTCTGGTTGTTCACCTCGGGACCCTGGTCTTGTTCCAGAATTTGAGTTTTGCACGCACATACACTTTACAGATCTGGCTTATTTGTATGCAGACATTTGGTTCCTCACCTCTCAGGCAGATGCACTCTGACTTTCGGAGAAATACCCCTAATTAGTTGACTACATGCTGGTTACGGAGGCAGTTGGTCTATGCTTTTTTCTTCCTAAACCCACACAGGGACTAGACCTTTCAAAAACCCACACAGGGACTAGACCTTTCAAAAACCCACACAGGGACTAGACCTTTCAAAAACCCACACAGGGACTAGACCTTTCAAAAACCCACACAGGGACTAGACCTTTCAAAAACCCACACAGGGACTAGACCTTTCAAAAACCCACACAGGGACTAGACCTTTCAAAAACCCACACAGGGACTAGACCTTTCAAAGTGACAATTATTTTTAAAAGAGCTACATGTGAGAAAAATGCAAACCTTTTTTATCAAACACTCGTAGTCCATGTTTGGAAGAGGTGGAGGGGGAGGAGGAGGAGGGCTCTGAAAACAGCCCAAGTAGGTTTTAATTAGAATTTACCAGAAAAATGCAATCTATGGTGTACATGAACTAAATGACTCCACCATGCACACAAACTGTAATAAACAGATTTCTGTGTGAACATACAGAGAACAGTGAGCCTAGCCAAGCATCATCAGCAAAGTTCAACTTGTATGAATAGAAAACTTCAATACCAAACTGAACAATGAATAACAATGAACAATAATATTAACATAATAAACATTTCATAATTTTGCATTACAATTTTGCTTTTAAAATGTATTTGCTTGCATGTTAAATTTAAAATATTTGTTAAAATAAAGTTAATGTCATTAAGAGCATAATTTTAATTTCAATAAATGCTATTTAATATTAGCCACTAAACATAAAAGCACACAAACATAAGAAACTATATGCAAACAGTTGCTGTTAATATTTCTCCAGGCATGGTATATCCTTGGTCCAAAGCACTAACAACAAATAAATGACAAATGTTAAGACTACACACACAAAAAAAGACCAAAACAGACGAGATAAAATTAGGAATGAGGTCATAAGAAAAATAAGTTGGCAGAGAAGCAACTGTAAATTTAAATTACATACAAAGAACAGTAAATTATATGGTTTGCCAACCTAGAGTGGCTGCACTGTCATGCTCTAACCATACACTGCATACAGGAAAAAAAGGAGGGCATAAATCCTGAGGCACATCAAGAACAAGGTGGGAAAATACCACCAGAGAAACTCCAAAACAGCACAATGTGTCTATGCTCGAAGAGTCTTGAAAAGCAAGAAGCAGTACCTTATATCTCGATCGACACACGAAGCAGTAAAAAGAGAAAGAAGAAAAAAAAAAAAAAAGTTTAGGCTAATGCATTCTGTTCCATGTATGTGAAAGTCTACAGCAGTGGCTCTCAAGTTTCCTAATGCGGAGACCCTTTAATACAGCTCCTAATGCTGTGGCTACCCCCAAACATGCATTTATTTTCGTTACTACTTCCTAACTTCAATGATTAAGTGTTTTCCGATGGTCTTAGGTGACCTCTGTGAAAGAGTTGTTTGACCCCAAAAAGCGTCGCCACTCACAGGTTGAGAACCACTGGTCTACAGGACCCAGAAAATATCAGCTTCAGTCCTCTAAACAGAAAACTAAGCTAGAAATCCAACTTTTAATAAAAACTGAAAGACTGAGAACAATTAGAACAAATACTAATAAACTACACACATTCTTGTACCGAATAAAGGGAATCAAATCAATGATGTGGAAGAAACATGACTGTGGAGCTTTGGGGGGAAATTTAAACAAATTCCAGTGAATCATGAGCTGTGAAAACAAAATGCTGGTGTTGTAGAGAGCTTGATAGAAATATAACTCGAATGTCCTTGCATTAAAATCTGTAGGGTCAGAAGAATAAGGTTAGTTAGTTGCGTATCCTCTACAGGACGTTGCAGAACCAACCCCAACAGCCCCTGGCTGTTGTGTGGTTTTTCTAGGCAAATTTACGCCTAGTAGTTTGCCATCAGAAGAATAAGAGCAGGTTAAAAACTAAAAAAATGTGGCAAAGATAATCAATCAGTGAATGAGAAAGATGGGGCAAGCTACACATGATGACTCGGTGTGAATTAGTTAAGGGTCTATGCTCCAAAGGGCAGCAGAAGAAGAATGGAACCAGCTGAGTGAATGTCTCTAGAATAGGAAAAGACCAGAAGGGACAAGCCCAGTAGACTATAAACCCAAGGGCCAAAACTGTGGGTCTAAAAACTCCTTAACCTTGCTCTCTCGAGAAGACTAAATTAGTTACTTCCAGTGGTGACACAGTTTCATAAACGTTGATGTATCGCCATTCCTGCAGTGACCTGTTTTCAAAAAACAGTTTAATTCCAATGATTGTATGTGCTCCTGCAATGTTTAAGAGGCTCATATTTAAATATATTAACTAAAGAACAGCACTGAGAAAGGTTTCCTTACGATTTATGGCTGTTTTAAATCCATATTGACATAACAATTTTCTCCTACACCTCAGTGATAAAGATCACAGAATGAGTCACCAGATACATTTGTTTTAGGTTCCTGGAAATGTATTCTATTTAACGCCTAATTCTGCATTTACTGATGATTACCCCCTTTAAATGTTTTTATACATTTTGAAAAACAAAAGTAATATGTAGATGAATAATTGTTGGTTTTAGCGACACATAAAACGGCTGTCTGTAAAAGGTTGGTTTTTTTCTAGAATTTCCATGGGTTCCTGAACCATTTGTTTGAATATTTTTTTTTAGCATTTATGGGACAAAAGGGTTAAAGCGCCTACAATGTGCAGTCTTAGATAGATGAATGTGAAACAGGATTTTTTTTTAAAGTACAGGTAGAGCAAGCAAGAGAGCTCTCTACGACCAAAGGCTGAAGAAAAGGGTGGATAAACAGTCTTTCTGAAATGCAATGTTTAATACTTCTATAACAATTACTAAATATTTAGTTAAAGCTTATTTCAGGTATTATATTAATCTTGACTTAAAATTTGACTGCTAATTTTTCTATAAACTCTTGGCTTTTTAAACAACTGAACCAATTCCAATGAAAAGATAACTTCAGTTTACAAAACAACAGACTATACAAACCTCTTTGACAGCTCTTTTTGGTTTACGATTTTTTTCTGCACTATTACTTCGCCACTTTGGTTTGTAATCCTTATCAGTCTTGTCAGTTTCCTCAAAGACAACAGGTTTTTGCTGTGAAACATAAAACAGTTAATAAAATATCATTGTTTAAAAAAAAAACACACACACACACACACACAATTCAAATGAAACTATGAGAAAAACATCTGCACCAATAAAACATTTTAAAACGTCTATCAGGAACTAGGACAGAGCTTTCAAAACTATGTGCTGTGACACACTAGTGTGTCAGCTGCAGGCAAAGGTGCAATCATAAAGCATAGAACAGAACAATCAGAAAGAAATGTTAAACTTTCATGCAAAAAGGACCTTTACAGCACAAGAACAAACCCAAACTCATAAACAGGACTAGATAGTTTTCCATATTATCTGAGAAAGTGGAACCTTCTTGTGGGTTCTGGGGCTCCATCAGGTAGAAAACACAAAGAAAAAACCCACTGCTCCCTATCAAGAAGGTTCGTAAGGGGTAACTAATTAACGGTCTGCTAGAACTGGATGTGCCGGGCATATACCACAGCCTAACGTAAACCACCCTTTGAAGGGCAAAAGCAAAAGATAAAAGGATACTGTAGAGGGAAAAAACTGGCCAGCTCACAACATATGTCAAGACCTAGAATATAGATCACATTTCAAAACCTAACAGCAGTAACCGCTTCCTTCACCTCTTTATATCTGCATATTTTTGTTTAAATATGTTTTCAGGAGTAAAACAATGTGGTGTAACGTGTATGTGAATTAATATTAATGCCCCGCTCTCTGCCGTAGTTGGTTAAACCAGACTTTGCGGCGACCGGGTGACGAACTCCTTGTGGTCCGGGTCCACGCTCAGGGGTAGGCGGAAAAGCCACATTTCTCCTAGATTTATGGTATCTATCATGGAATCAAGGCCGAAGGGTTGCGATATCCATAGTACCAAGCCAAAGGGTTAACAACTCATGGTTTCTGGATACTTTAGAAAAAAAAATTTAATATGATTATCCACATGCCTTTCATCTGGCCAAGGAGCAAACAGACACTCAACCAACTGAAACCAAAGCCTTTGTAGCTTTTCATCTTGTTGAATTATTTGGCTAGTTTTCTATGACATGAGAGCCATGGTTCCATAGCAGCTAAATGTCTGCTGGTCCAAAAATCTAGATTCAAACCCATATTGAGGCAGATTTCTATTTTTCAAAACCAATCACAGCTTCCAAATCACCCTCATCACTAACTGGCAGGTCTTTTACAAAGCGTCCCTCTTGTCATGACATGCCTAAAAGTCTCTCTTTCTCTAGCCAAATGTCCAGCCCTATGTGCTTTCATAGCCAATGCATCTGAAGTCTCTTGTATCCACATTCAAGGAAGTTTACCTCTGCCTTACTTTTCGGAAACTGCATCCTCCATCACCATTCTCTGAAGGCCACCATGACGCTTAACATGGTGCAAATACCTAAGCTTCTGGGACAGGATGCTGTTTATGAGCCATTTCTCCTTGAAGCTAAGATCTTCTGCTTGTACCATGGTATTGTGACCATTTTTCTGTTGCATTTCAGCTTCCAGATTTAACCCAACCAAAAATGGGTCCTAACTAATGTCTTCGGAGGTAGCGGCAGCAGGCGGGGCATTGACCACATCACCTATCAAGTGCCTAATGGTCTAAAAAATAAAAATAGGTTTAGCACTATATGCCTGAGGAGCTGCAGTGGTGTAGTGGCTAGACACAGATCCGAAGGTCATTAGTTTAATTTCGAACTGAGCCAAACTTTGTTTTTAAATGGCTGTGGCTCCCAAATCGACCCAGCCTTAAATGGGTACCAGATAAAGTTCTGGGAAGTAAAGGTAGCTGGTGTGGTGTTAACCCCATTATCTATCTATAGGATGAGGTGCCTAGTCCAATCTCCCTTAGTTCTTTACTTTCTATGGGCTGAGGTGCCTAGTCCAACATTCCTTAGTTCTTTCTTCTTCTTTTTCACTTTCAATACCTGCAGTCTTGTGGAAAGTTCACGTTTATGGTCCACCTCAACACTTAAATCTTGTTCCAGAACCTGAGTGCTGTTTACAGATTTAGCTTATGTATATGCAGACTGTTGGTTCCTTGCCTAGGCAAATGCACTCTGACTTTAACGGAAGCCCCCCATTAGAAGACTCTTACAACAGGCTTTTTGGGAAGGCAGTGGTGTAATTCCTGTTTTTTCCCACAATGAGACCCTGGAATTCACACTCGGAAGTACCTTCTTCAAAGCATGGTATGTTACAGTAGTACATTCTTTCCTTTCTTAAAGCTCATCCATAACAGGCAGAACCAATTAATTATTAAGGTGGCTTACCTCAGGAATGAACTTGACAGTTTCACCTTTCTTAAACAGATAGAAGGGGAACAGGATGCGTTCATAGTGATGCTTGAGAGTTCCCCCAACTCCACGGCCAGATGGGTAGCCCATCTTGCTACCCACCTGAGACCAGCGCCTGTCCCTGTTCAATGACTCCATACCACCTTCCTCTTCTACAGTCTGAATGAAAACAAAAGTATCTGCTTAACAACATTCTGTGAAGCCTTTCACAACCATGGGACGTATACATCCCAGGAAATAATACAAAACCTATAATACCCATTTATTTTCTTAGTACAGCACCACACAATCCTGGATGAGAACTATGGCTAACTGACTGACTATGTTTGTTAGTCACATAAATATAGTCTAACATGCAAAGACTCATAAAGAACATGACTTTTTTTTTATATTCAAGATATAATTTGGGGAAAATTATATAAATGATCGTTTCCAACAGTCTGAGTGGCAAGCTTCACTGGAAAAGTCACAGGTAGTAAGCATACTTTGGATCATTTCGCCAGGCCAAACCAGGGTGGTGGGTAATGAACAGGCAGACAGACTGGCTGAATCTGCAGCACTGGTGGTGAACTGATACATGACAAGACAGATGTGGTCAAGGTCCTTTAGGAACAAGCAATAGAATCAGTAGAGATAGAAGATTATTATGGCCTGGAGAGAATGAGACATCTGGGTGTAACCAGAGGGTCTGGCCGGCTCACTACACTTAGAGGAAAGGCAAGATGGACATGTAACCAGATTGTGACTGGTACCATCAGTACTGGAACTCTGCGCTGGCTGATGAAGATGAGGACCGAGCATGCATGTGAATGCCCCGAGTGCTGTGATGTCAATTCTTGACTCAACTCCCAACAGTCTAGCTTGAGCAACAGATTTTTGTGGTGTCCGATTTCACCAGTCTACAACTTTTCATATCCTAACAATGTCAGTGAATAAGAAAAAATATCATAAAAGAAGAGAAGATGAATCAAAAAAGAATTACAATCACAAAAACAAGAAAAAATAAAGAAATGTTTTATAATATTATAAGCCCAGAAAATGCAGAAAAAAAAGTGTAAAGAAGAATTTCTAGACAAAATGTTTTAAAAAATATTCTTTTAACGGATTACTAATAAAATGCAAAAATATATATAAATACATAATTTTTTTTCTTCTCAATTGCTGTTTAATTTCTTATAGTAGCATGACTTTTGTTCTTGACACAACTGAACCCAGTGCCAGACATCACAGCAGTCGGAAGCTCAGACCCTCAGGAGATACAGTAGTTGTGATAAAAGCTATTTCCCCCCAAAAAAATGTAGCCTAAAGGTCCACAACAGTACGAGGATGAAGGTGGCTATGATACTGCAGTTTTCAGGTGGTTATCAGGTGGCAATCTACAATCAATGGCAAACAAATGAACGTAACAATTACCTAGGAAAACAGCAAACAATGCTGGGGTTGGTTCTGCAATGTGGTGTAAGTGTAAAGAACACAAACAGCCAAACAATGCTGGGGTTGGTTCTGCAACAGCCTTTAAAGAACACAAACTTATCTGGTACTTGAGAGAAATGGCTAGGCTCTGAATCAGGAGACCCAGATTCGAATCCTAAGTAAGGTGATGGATTTTTGAATGGGAAAAATAACATCTTAACCCTTCTAATCCACGGTGACTACACTAACAACGCGGCCCTAAATAATCATGTACACCAGACAGCTTAGCACCAGGAAATGTCATGGGAAGCAAAAGTGGCCAGTGCAACGTTGTCAGATGCACGCTAACTTGTAAAAAGGGTCTTTAACCCTTTTGGGCCAGAACAGCAAAAGAACAAAAACACTAAAACCTATAACCTTCCAAACATTTTTCGTCAGTTTAAAAGAAATTCTAATTCTGTCGTGTTTAAAATAAAAAATGTATGACTCCCACAGTCAGTAATAAAATTGTATAATAAAAGTTACTGACTGTATAGAATAAAGATGGAAGTAATGCCATCACTAGGTCCTATCAGCGGTATGAAGGTATAAGCTTATGCCAGCAGCTTGTCACTATCAGCTAATGTTGACAGCATGCAACAATCGGGTGACATCAATAAATTATCATCACTGCTCTCGCTTTCCATTTCCGAAGTATGACAATAACACTACTGTCACCACTATCATCCACAGAATAACAAAACAAGGGCTTTTTTATTGTTGCATCAACAGTATGAACAGATCTTTTTTTTTAAATCTCCTATATGCTGACTCATTTGTACATAAACTGACATATAAACGAACTGAAAAACAGGTCAAAGTCGGTTAGAGCGCTTCTTAAAAACTGGAAAGGGCAAAAATCTAGGTTAAGTGGCCCTAACAGTGAACTGGGCACTACCAGAGTGTGGGATTTGTGGCTTCTTGTGACGAGAGGGTTAAATTCACTTACTGCATGAGTTGTACAGAAAACACAACTACAATACACTGATTTACCACAAAGACCATAAGAGTTAACACAGCACACAAACCAGTACTACACCAAAACCACTATAATGACTGCCACCACAATGAATCCACCAGAGAAACTATAATCCTACGACCACCACAATGAATCCACCAGAGAAATTATTAGCCTACGACCACCACAATGAATCCACCAGAGAAATAATTACCCTACGACCACCACAATGAATCCACCAGAGAAACTATAATCCTACGACCACCACAATGATTCCACCAGAGAAATAATTACCCTACGACCACCACAATGAATCCACCAGAGAAATGATTAGCCTACGACCACCACAATGAATCAAACACAGAAATGATTAGCCTACGACCACCACAATGAATCAACCACAGAAATGATTAGCCTACAGCCACCACAATGAATCCACCAGAGAAACTATAATCCTACGACCACCACAATGAATCCACCAGAGAAATGATTAGCCTACAGCCACCACAATGAATCCATCAGAGAAATGATTAGCCTACAGCCACCACAATGAATCAAACACAGAAATGATTAGCCTACGACCACCACAATGAATCAAACACAGAAATGATTAGCCTTCGGCCACCTCAATGAATCAACCACAGAAATGATTAGCCTACAGCCACCACAATGAATCCACCAGAGAAATGATTAGCCTATGGCCACCACAAAAAATTCACCAGAGAAATTGTTAGCCTATGGCCACCACAATGAATCCACCAGAGAAATGATTAGCCTACGGCCACTACAATGAATCAACCACAGAAATGATTAGCCTCCTGCCATCAAAAAGAATAATTCACCACAGAAATGTTTAGCCTACGGCCACCATAATTATTCTGCCACAGAAATTATAAGCCTCCTGCCATCAAAAAGAATCTATCACAGAAATTATTAGCCAACTACCACCATAATGAATCCACCACAGATATTGATTAGCCAACTGCCACCATAATGAATCCACCACAGTAGTCGTTAACCTACTGTCACTATAATGAATCTACCACAGAAATAATTAGCCCCCTGCTACAATAACGAATTCACCACAGAAATGATTAGCGTACTGCCATACAAGTGACTATAATCAATCTACCACAGAAATTATTAGCCTCCTGCCACAATAATGAATCCACTCCAGAAATGATTAGTTAAATGCCGAGCAGGCCACCATAATGAATCCACCAGAGAAAGAATTAACCTAAATATATCAAAAAGACCCCACAGAGAAGCCAGCAAATTATCAGACTAAATGCATTGGCATTACATGAATACTATTATTTAATTCACCTTACAAGTCCCAATACTAAATCCACTATGTGAACCACCAGACAGGATCAGCCACAGGAATCACTATATAAACTATATTTAATCAACTGCACAAATCACAGTATACAATCCACCATCTGAATCACTTTATCCCAAATTCACTTCATAAAAAACTGTAGTGAACTTCAGCATGTTAATACTCTACTGATTCTACAATGTGAACTACTTCACAGAATCCACACTATGAACTGCTTTACTTAATCTACCACTTAAACCCCTTGAAAGAATCCACCATTATAACATTAACAGATCACTATACTGAATCCACATTGTGAACCACTGCACTCATCACTCAATTTACACTGAAACACTTCACTGAATCCACATTAAGAACTGTTATATGGATTTAATATACCATGTAAATCATGCTGAATTCACTACACAGATTACCTAAGTGAAACCATATTGCAAACTACTTCACTGAACCCCCGCCGTGAGCCAGTTCACTGAACCCACACTATGAACCACTTAACTGAATACACATTGCAAACCTCTTCACAGAATCCACAATGTGAACCACTTAACTGAATGCCCATTGTGAAACCCGTCTCAGAATCCACACTGTGAATCACTTCCCTGAATGCACATTGCGAATTATTTCACTAAATTCTACAATGTGAACCACTAATTACACAGAATCCACATTTTGAATCACTTCAATGAATGTACACTGTGAACCACTTTTTTAAGTCTACAGTGTGAACTACTTTACTTAATCCACACTGAATGAATTCATTGAATTCACATTGTGAATGACTTCGCTGAATTCTACACTGTGAAACACTACTTACACAGAATCCACATTGTGAGCTCCATGACTGAATCCACTTCAATGAATCCATATTATTTACCACTGAATTCACATTGTGAACTTCTTCACTGAATCCATAATGTGAACCACTGCACCTAATCCATTATGTGAATTACTATACTGAACTCATGATTCACTGTACTGATTCTAAACAGAACTATATAAATATTGTCTACACTCTACACAGAATAGGCAACATCTTCCATGAAAAAAAATAGGCACTTAGCAAAATAAAACCAAGGTAAGCTAGTTTATGATCTTACCTTGAAAAGTTTGTACAAATCCAATATTTTCCGTTCTACTGTCGGGATTTTTAGAGTGCATCCCTGAAAATAAACAAGAATTGAAAGTTCAGTACATTCAGCATCTGAGCATGGCATGAGCAATTTCTGTTAGGTCATAAGGTCGACACTATTGTCCACTACTGTATGATTCTTCGTTTTATAGCAAAAAGAGTTCTTAAAATTACCACAAAAATTACCTTCAGTAACTGCATAACTATTTTGCTCAAACGCAGACAGAAACGTTTTGTCCACTCATCAAAACCTGAGAGTGACTCATATAGTCTAGCTATTGCTATCAACATCACAAGCCCTGTCTGTATACACACACAATCAAAATACTGCAGTTAACACCAAAATGCAGAGTACTTGTACTTACTTGCAAGTCCCAAAACTTGTACAGGCAGTCAAAGAAATTCAGTTTGATCCTAGAATGGGCCTGAGGGATAAAGATGAACAATTAATTGGTACAACTCAAACAACTGACTTTCTCAAAGATTTGCTACCACAAGTGATTTAACTGCTACCTTCTCCACTCCAAACAGCCACATGCCGTCTCAGAGAAAACAGCCACATGCCGTCTCAGAGAAAATAGCCAATGTATGTGATTCTGCACCCTCCCTTTAAAATGTCTTTACCGACCCTACCACACCCTCATTATTAATTCAATTTAACACCCCAGTCAAAGAATAAATTATTAACTTCAACTGACTTTTCTGACAACTTGTTGCCACAAGTGATTTTTTTTTTTTTTTATTTTCCAAACAATCACAAGCTGCCTTATAGAAAACATGATCAAAAGATGTGATACTGCACATTTCACATACTTGTATCACACCCTCATATACACCCAGACAAAGAATATTAACCTAAGTAAGAAATCCAAGATGGCTGCCAAGATGAGTCTCAATGTCTATACAAAGAAAAGTGCATGATATACCTACAGTAAAAATAGAAGTAAAATTGTTAGCTACTGCAAATTTAACTCTTATAATGGCCATTTTCACATAAAATATACTAAAACTGCAACATTCTAAAGTATATTTATCAATAATGAAGATCAAAATATGCATTAACAACAGCTGAGAGGGATGAGCTAAGGCAAGGCAATGTGTCATTCAATGTCAACTCAATACTTAATGACATTAATCATGCTCTTAAACATACTGACCTCTAATTCATTGAGTTTCTGAATTCTGGGGGTAAATTTGAAGGTTTCAACATTCACTGCAAATGGTGGTTGCCAGTCCTACAGCAAGGTCAATGGAAACAAAAACTATCAAAGTTATTTAATGACCATGGTGAGACAATGCATGGAAAGGTCCAATTAATTTAAACTAATCTGCAGACCTCAAATAGTGACGCATTAGACTTTTTTGACTAAATGTAATTCTGAGTGATAGCAAGACTGCTGTTTATCATTATAATAAATATGTCCAATCAATACAATCTGACTCATCAGATGTTTCACAAGTGAATAGAATACTCATAAAGTATATAGTTTCATAAATTCATTATGGTTTCCTCAATCATTCTGTAAAAGTAATATACATAATTAATCCCAGTTGGTTTATTGCATAAATCTAAAATAAATAAGAAAGGAGAGGGGATTTTGTGGTTGAAAATAACAAACTAACTCCCCAAACAATATTTTTTTATTTCTGATCAAATGCAAAGAAATGCCTCTCAAAACTCCTCAAATGAAGTGAAGCCTAAGAATGAAAGCACTTATTAATATTACAAGAAGGAACATGAAAGAAACTGGTGAAGTTAAAGAAGAATTATAATAATACAATATAGATTTCAACAACCCACTCTTGAGAAACTGAAATGAGAGCTGGGTTCTTTGCCCAACAAAAATTCAATATCTGACATAATTTCCAGCACCCTCTTCCACAAAAACCAGTTTTTCATCCATTTAATTCATTTAAACTTGAAGACAAAATCATTACAAAGAGCCTAGAAAAGCAAAAAGGCCTCTAATATGTAGTGCAACAGAGCCCCAGCATCATGTGCACACAAGCGACTGCCCCCCTTGGCACTTGCACGGCCCCCAGGCCGCAACCTGCCCGAGCTCTGCCTGCAATCATGGGCAATAGGAACTGCCAACAACGGTGGCTGACGTCGCCATGCCCACATACACAAAGCGCACGTAGAATAAGAATCTTCACAAATTAACAGCTCTGTGCTTCCCACCAACAAAATCAAACACTTCCTCGCGTTTATTCACAAGATAAAAGCAGCTTCCACAATCACAAAATAAACCTACCGGTGGTGGTTTTATTTTCACAATTCCAGTCTCCAAACCTACTGGTCTGATTTTAGCTATGTAACCTAACGGATCAGCGAACTCCTCTTCTGTTGGTGTGAAGACTGGAGCTTCTGGCGGCGGCTTGAAGTTTAGATACGGATTGTCGTTGTCACTATCCATAACTGAAGAAGAAGTTTAGCACACACGATATATATTTACGAATAATCCATCGCGAGTTCGGAGAGAGAAGGAAAATAAAATATCACACACAGTCCATTGAAAACATCTCCTCATCGGCATCGCTGGTAGTGCCGAACAACATACCAAACAGTCTTCTAGCGCACAAACATATAGTTTTCCTGCCTTGCTTTTTTACTTCTCAATATTAAACAAATAAAGAAAATTATTATTTATTACTAATAGCGATTTTGATTATGTGTCAATATATGGTTAAAATTTGCATTTACTGAAAAAATGTAATGTTTAGTAATTATGCAAATTTAGAAGTTGTTGTATTAATACACTCTTGTGTTTACGGACGAAAGGTTAACATAATGTTGACAGTAAAGGATGAACAGTAATGTGTAGATAAAATTTTGCGAATTATGTTGTTTTTATTACTTTTATAGTGTTTGAGAATAAAAATATTTATCTTGAAAAATTGATAACTACTTAAAACCAAACACGACCTTTAACCTCAAAACGGAGCGGATAAAATGGCGGCCCAAAACAAAGTCAGGTTAGCAACGGCACCTATTAATTTGTTTACTGTTGGATAGTATATTAAATTTATAATTAAATGTATATTATTTGTATCTGCTCTTTGTTTTGTATTCCTGTCTTGTGTCAGTATCATTTGCTTTACTCAGGCATTGTGTGTAACAGTGTTGTGTTGTCATATATTTGATTTTTTATTTTTAAATCTTCATTCACCGCTTTGGCTGCGTTGCACCGACTTGTTTCAAGACTTTTTGAACATTCCTATCCTATTCAATTCCCAACTTTTACTTTGATTGATTTGATTAATCACGGCACATTAATGACACTGCAGTCGAAACAATGTCGGGCTCTGTCTCTCCCTTCAGAAATAGTAGGGTCTTGTTTAATGGTAACAGAAAATCAAATTCAAATACAGTAATTAATACTACTAGTAATACTAGTACAAGAAAAACACCGGTGCAAGCCAAACTTTACGGGTCGCTGGGTGAGTTACAACAGACGGTGAATTTCACACTTGAGTCAACATTGCAGATATAGATAATTTATTGCAGGCAAACGAAAGAAGAGCAAGAAGTAATACATAGTTTCTGAACAAACTGTGAATGAAAAGAGATTTGCAATTTAAAAAAGAGACAGTTGAAATATTTTGGCTCCTTCGAACTTTGTCCCCATGTTATGGCAGCCAAACAAATACCCTAACAAGGCCTCAGTCATATGCAAATTGTGGAGTGCCTGCTGAGGAACAAATCGCGGCAAAACTAGGATTGCCTCTGAATAATGGGCCAATATTATCAAGGGTAAACAAATACTCTAACAGGGTCTCAGCGATATGTTAATTCTGGACCTGTTTCTGCGACTATGCCACACCGCCGACAGTATTCCCCGCCCCGCGCGTAGCAAATAAATTGGAGGAAGTTGCAGGAGATGCGGTAGCTGCCTCTCATGAGTCCCAGCCATCTTGTTTAGCCCCTATCCACGCATAGCGGTGTGGGGAATACGCTCTGCGGAGAGTTTAATCGGAAGAACACTATCGCTAGCCTGCGTAGGAGCGCGTGGTCTCCCCACCATTTAGCTATTGTCATGTGTATTGTGGCATTTCTCGAAACTGTCAACGGACAGTAATCCTAGTTTTGCCGCGATGTGTTCATCAGAGGAAGTCTGTATTTTACACACGACTGAAGCCCTGTTAGGGTATTTGCCCACCATAATATGGGGACGAAGTTCGAAGGAGAGCCGAAAGACTCTGTGGAGTTTCTACCACTTATATGGCAGCAGTGGAGACCAAGATGAGGTAGAGGCCCCCCAACTAAGTGCTCCGCGAACTTGTATGTTAAAACAGCACTGGTGCTCCCATAAATATGTAATTAACAATGTAAACAATAATGAACCATTAAAATTTTATTTTTTTAAGTTAAACAAAACTGGCAGTAAATTGGAAGATAATTTCTATTTTTTTTTTTTTATTCTTCCCCTTTATATTTTAAAAGTTGTATCCTTTTTTTTATTTTTTATTATTTAAAAATCTTTGATCAGATCCTCAGACTAATCTTATGTAACACATCTGCTTCTCCACCATGTTGGTTCCGGGCCCTGTTATAGGGAAAACAAGAACAGACCCACTGCCTACCCAAAGCATATCCTAAGAGTCGACTAATTGGGAGCTTCCTTCAAAGTCGTAGTGCATCTGCCTGAGAGGCAAGGAACCAACAGTCTGCACACAAATGTGTCAGATCTGTCAAACGGATGCACATGCAACATTTCAGTTCTGGAACAGGACTGCAGTCTACAAGTGGACGAATAACCAGAACTTTCCACCAGAGTTTACAGCTGGTGAATGCAAAGAAGAAAGAAGACATCTGCTTCTATACCTATTATAGATAAGGCATCAGGTCTGCCTTATTGCATTGTTGGTCTAATGGGATTTTTTTAAATATGCTTCAGCCGTTTTAAAAAAAATTTTCAGCTCCAAATCTATTGAAAACGTTTGTAAAGCTGGTAAACGAATGTGAAGAAGTTATTTTCTTAGCTATTCCATAACAGTTAAAATGTTTCAAGTTCTACTATCTCCTCTCATTGAAAAAATGGCTGTTACTGCCTCCACCTCCATTTGTATGCTAGATCAGTGGTTCTGAACCTTCCTAAAGCCACGATCCTTAACCCTTTCGCTGCTGCGCCCTCCGCCAGCCAACATAACCACTGTGCTAAGCCAGGCGAAAGCTAATCTTTCCCCCTGTGCTGAATACCGTTTTTTCCTTCAAAAGCAGAAGACGCGCTTGCAGCACGGGGTAAAAATTGTACACCTAAAATAAAAAATCGTTGAAGGCGTGTGGTTGAACTTTGCGCTGACAAGTCAGACGCGCTATTACTACGCCGTGAAAACTCATTAACAAAAAGAAAACACTACAAACTTACAAAGCAAACACAAAACACTTTAGTAAGCAAATACATGGTTTTTATTATTATTAATAATATCTTTGTGTGTGAAATATTTCAAAACAAGGTGCGACAGGCAATGCCAAATCACATTCCTTGCACATGTATCTGGTTTTCCGTCGTTTTTTGCTTTTTGCGCATACCACACACTTTCTGGTTGGGAATTTTTTCTGCGATGTTACGGACTCTATTATTGAAGGGAAATGCCTTTGTACTAAACGAAGTGGCAGATCTTCACTTTTTTGTCCTCCTACACTTTTTCTCTTTTCCTTGCAATATTTATGTAGAATTTCTCTTACTAACATTAAGTGAAATTCGGCAACAGGTGTGTTTTTCCCCACAACAACTTTATATAATGAATGTGCACAGTACACCAACCACGCTTCACATAACGTGTAAAGCATCTAAATCCACCTGAACGCACGTGACAGGATGTTTAATTAATTATTACTTTGGTTATCTGTTGCCGAAAATGCTAACAGCTTAAATTTAAAATTTGCATTTAAAAAACTTAATTTTTAAAAAAAACGGCACGTAGGGGTTGAACGCTGGACCTTTCGATTGTAAGGCAGACGTGATACCAACTACACTAGAAATTCACATGAAACTATGAACTGAAAAAAAGACCAGTATTGTACACTTTAATAGACAAACACATTTATGTCAGTTGTATAGTATATAATTAACATTAATATTAATCATCACGTCAGTACGTGACCATATTTTTTGTTGTTGATTATTTTGGATCCGTTTCAAATCCAGTCGATGTAGATAGCTAGGTCATATGGTCACTGGTCAGTCTTGTTCACAGCCAGAAGTACACGTGTCCGCCGGCGTGCCGCGAAGATAACCCAGCTCATATAACTCACACGTTTCAAAGTGATCCTTACTACTACTCCTTGAAAGAAACTCAATTAATTCTTCTTTATTTAAACAAATGTTCTTGTTATTTTGTATTAAAAAAAAAAATTTAGACTAACGCAAAACCAGAAATATATTTCAGGGCAAAAAAATTACCGATCACCGACAATGCTTCTATGGTAACAAAGAAACAGGATAAAGTGAAATGCATCTAAATACGCCTAAACTCACTTGATAAGGGTTTTAATTGTATGTAAACGGGTCAGTTTGATCAGATTAAGTTAATGTGTATTGCTATTTCACCCCTAAGAATTACTTTCCTTAGCAATCTGTAAAAAAATGTCCAGAACAAGATATCTCGTCCTTAGCAGTGAGGGCACAGAAAATTGCAGCCGAGTTATCTCGTCTTTAGCAGTCTGCCGGGCAGACGAGTTATCTCGTCCATAGCAGCGAAAGGGTTAAATACAATTTCTCGAGTTGTGACCACCAACCATAAAATTATTTTTATTGTTACTTCATAACCTCAGTGAATATGTGTTTTCTGATTGTCTGAGGTGACTTCTGTGAAATGTGCGTTCGACCCACAAAAGAGTTGAGAACCCCTGTGCTAAAACATCATCATCATGTTCCCTGCTACTTGGCATAGGCACTCATGCATCTCCACTGATAACAATCCATGGTTGCCTGGAACAGCTCTCTTGATGATATCCCTCCATGCCATTGTTTCAGCCCATCCAGCATCATCTCTCTTGGTCTGCCTCTACCCCTCTTTTCACTGATCTTTCCAGTTGTCACAATGTTTTCTAGTGCCTCTCTTCTCATTATGTTGCCAAAGAACAGTTTTTGTCTCCTTCTTATTGTTGTATATAGAGATCTACTTTCATTAGCTTCTTTCAAACAATCGTTATTAGTTACTCTGACGGTCTAAGGTATTCATAACATTTGTCTCAGAAACCACATCTCTGTTGCTTCCAAATTCTTCTTAATTTTTTTCACTGACATTCCAAGATTTGTTGCCTTACAGCAGAACAGGTCTATATAACATTTTAGCACTCTCTTCTAGCTGTGCTAGATGTTGTTGTTTTATAAATGCTAGACTTTTTTCTTCCTGCACACTGTCCATTTACCTTTCTTTACTGATGATCTGCGCTAACTGCACTTTTCTGCCCAACATATCTGATTTCATGAAATCTGTAATTCATTGTCATCATCATTTTGTGTTGTTATGTCACATAAGGCTTGCAGTCTATTTTGCTATTCAGCTTTATCCCCTGCAGTTATTTCAGTATCATGGATGGAGTCCAGTCCAGCACCTTTACCCTCTCTCATCTGTGTTCGTCTCAGGGTTTCTTTCAGACGTCCTTGCCTTTTCAGTCCTTGCTTCACATTTAAGTTCTGTTTGGTGATTCCCTGTTCATTTCTCCCCAGGATGTGCCAGATATATTGTCAACTTCTTTGTCTTATAACTTTTGATATCAGTAATTTTCCAGACATTTCTCTTTTTGTTTTTCACCTTTCCTAAATAAACCTTTAATTAGTTGTCGTTTATGACATGCTTGTTAAGGGTCAGCAGGTCTGTTCTTTAGAGAGTTTTGCCTGGTGAAGTGGTCAAGCCATTTGCCTCGCATTTTGAAGGTCATGGGTTTGTTTCACGGACACCAGGTTTGGTTCACGAGTGCAGTTTTAATGGGGTCGCTCTTGATCATGGCAGAAGCTATCAAGTACATGTTCTTGTGCAGTATTGTCAGCAGATGGCTAGCCATGCTATGGAGAGAGATGAGCTATCAGGAATAAAACCCAGTGCAGTGTATTCTGTCAAGTTTAACTTTAACCCCTCCACCATTAAAGTAAAAATAAAAAAGTATCTATTTGCTGCTTAAAAGCTTATGCAGCATATAAATCTAATGGTAGTTTTTGGTTGATTTAGACTTAGTTATATGAGACTGCCACTTGTCATTCATTATTTTAATTTCTTGTTATTTTTGTTTATGTGCTGCAGAAAGAGATCTCCTAAACGTTCAAAAGATGACAGGATTGATCTCAGCAACTTAAATGAAAGCATGTTCAACAGCACATACATGTTAGACAACAAATCTTTTGACCGGATGAAGGAGAGTCAGGCGGATATGGAAAATGACAGAGACAAGGATGCCACGCTACCAGACATCAATGAAAGGCTTGGTAATAGCAACTTCTTAACTTTTTAAAAAAAATTTGTTCTTTACTAAGCCTATTTACTGAAATATCTTCTTCTTGTTCTCTTCTTCTGGAATGATTCACGGCGTCAAAGCTGGAAGAGGTCCCTGGAACAGGCCCTTCTGTTCGCTTTATATAAAGTTCTTTTCAGTGTCTCTAAAATTTATGTGATCCATCTTCTGTATGGTCGACCTCTGGCTCTGTTGCCCGTGAGATCTCGTCATTTTCTATGAGCACTAAGTAAGCCGCTGTCATTTGCGGGGCCAGTCGCAGAGTTTCCAAACTTCCTAGAAGGTCACACTTGAACTAGACCTTCACATTCATACTAGTTTAACACAACTTTCATTATATGAAATATCACAATTTTTTATATAACATTGAATTCCTCACACTCCGGGCATGCCTTTTTATGCTCTGTCTCCATCCAACAGCTGTTGAAAAGTACGAACACCTTTCATACCCGGAGCTGTTTGGTTGTTCATTCACCCTGGTTGTTCCTGCTAGAACTTAAAGTGATCCATAATTAATATATTATGAATATATGGCTTTTTTCCTGGTAGAATGCAATGGTTAGTCACACTCGCCATCGCCATGGGCTGTAAGTCCCGTGCCTCATAATAACGCAATATAACACTTTCGTCTGGAAAGACAGAAAGGTGCCAATCAATCATTCAATCAATCATGCAGTGGTTTGCAGTACAAACACTTTTTTTTAAAGTATCATTTCTTCAGGGCTACTGTACAGAACACCTTCTGGGGAGTGCCTGTATCATTTTAGACTTTTTGTTTTTCTAGATAAAAGCTCTGGTTTGTCTGTGTGTGCGTCAATGAGTGTGTGTATTATACAGTATTTCTCTGTTGATAAAATTTTTTGAAAGGCGTCTGTGGCTTAGAGGTTGCAAACACGTTTTGTAATTCTGAGAAGCTCAGTTAAGTTTCAGCTTCAGGTGATTTGGCTTTGCATTGATTTCAACACTGGTATCTTGAGCCGATCTTTCAGAAAGCAGTGGCAAATTACTCAATGTAAAATTGCTTAGTAAACCACAAGCAGCTAACAAATTCTATGGTTGATTTTGCAACATCCTCTAAAACAGCGATTCTCAACCTATGGGTCGCGACCCTTTGGGGGAGGGGTCAAGCGACCGTTTCTTAGGGGTCGCCAAAAACCATTGCACAACACAGATTCATTGGAGTTATAAAGAAGCGACGAAAATAAATGTATATTTGGGGGTTGCCACAACACGAGGAGCTGTATTAGAGGGTTACCACAACATGAGGAACTGTATTAAAGGGTCTTGGCATTAGGAAGGTTGAGAACCACTGCTCTAAAATATACACACCTAACTGTACAAGTATACATATTTCCTTGGATTAGTTAACAACTTCATTTTGATAAAATCCAGTTTTATTTATTTATCACTGTCAAAGGCCTGTTTTGCTATGAGACAACTGTAGATGATGATAGTGAATGATGGACTAGCACCTAGATGACCGCTTAGAGACCATGCTTTCAACAGCCTACAAGAGATTTCGACAAGGACATTATGGCGGACGAGTGAAGACTCAGGATTTACAAGGAGTTCACTGACCCCCAATGAATGCAAGAGTCAACAAAACAGACAGAGTGAACGATTTTGGGAAAATTGCTCAGAGACCTGCACTTGGACAAGACGTCTTGTGTTTTGACCGCTAGGTGCTTCCGTAATTGATTTTAGTTAGTGTCGGTTAGGTTGTGATAACATGTTAGTTTGACGGCATTATAATTTAAGTGTAAGTAGGCAGTGTAACATCTTTGAAAGCAGGGAAGAACATAAAAACAACTTGGAACTAACGGCAGAGGAACTAGAACCAGGTATATTGTTAGGTGAAGTAGAATATGTCATTCGTACCGCTCCTAGACTAAAAGTGACAGGTATTGATAATCTATCAGCTGAGGCCATTAACGCAGCAGGAGAAGTGGGAGCAATATAGTTACAGAGAATATTTCAGGTGGCATGGGAAAATCAAGAAACACTATCAGATTGGCAAACTGCTGTCATCGTCCCGCTATGGAAAAATAAAGGAAGTAAAAGGGACTGTACTAATTACAGAGGAATAATGCTTCTCAGTCACACTGGGAAAATGTATGCTAAGATGATCGAAAAAAAAGGCTAAGACCATTGATAGAGTATCAACTTTGAGAAGCACAGATGGGCTTTCGACGAAACAGAAGTTGCACAGATGCCATTTATACATTTAGACAACTATCAGAGAGAGAGCACGTTAAGACATGTTTGTTGACATTCATAGACCAAGAAAAAGTCTTTGATAGAGGAATATGTTGTGGGAATGTATGGGGGCAAGGGAATTAGCAATCATCTCATTAATATTTGCACAGCTATTTTTTTGGCCAACACTATGCTATCAGTGCCAAACGTAGACACTTACAACCTCCAATGAATGTAAAATTGTGACAACAGAGATAAAATGCCTTAGAAGAGCTGCAGGAGCTTCAAGGAAAGACAATACGAAATCAGAAGAATGCTAGGAATGAAGCCAGTCTTACAGGTCATCAAAGAACAACAAATGATGTGGTTTGGACACCTAACAAGAATGCCCTAGTACTATATGCCACAACGAGCCACACTAAAATGTTACAAGAGGTATGGAGCGAGGGGAAGACCTAACAGTGTGTTTAGTGATGGTTGTTTTCACTCAGGTGCTTAGCTTTTGTCCTAGCGAGTAGGTTCGCGAAAGGGGTTTGTCAGTAAAGAAGAGGAAGTGAATGGGTTTGTGGGCATGTCACAGTGTACGGCGCAAGGGCATAGAAAAGAGCTTGGGTAGGGGGCTGTTCGTTCAGACCCAGGTTAATGCCTGGAAGCAACTGGAAGGCCAGTGTGTGAGTGGTGATTTTAAAGCTATCCAGCCAGTTGGGGTAGGGTTTATAGCATAAGCTACCTCTGGGGTGAACTGCCGATCGCTTGTCTAAAATTACATAGAGGCTGTATGCTCTGAGGGTGTTGGGTTAGTTGTGTTTGAGATAGACACCTATCATGGAGCTGCCACGAGCCGTTGTCATTAAGGCAGTAAGCTGCTCTCCGACAATCACTGGCTCCTCCACGGTTAGGATCATACAGTGTTGTGACAGCATAACAAAACAAAACAGCAGTTAAAGTAGTAGTTGTAGTAGTCAGGGTTTCAGCTTCACTGCAGTCAGGTCACCCCATACTTGCTTCATTCATGTGCCTGTGAAATGTCCCTCACTGTCCAATTTGAAAAACTTGTGAACAAACAATTAGTCCCAGCACATTCCAGAAATTTGTGCGCACAGTAAATGCATAAAGCAGTTGTTCTCATGGGATGTGAAGGAGAAAACTGGAGTACATTGTGACTAGGAAAGCTGGAGGCAAGGAGAGGCAGAGGGAGACAGAGAGAAAAGATGTTGGCATCGAGGGAAAGTACATGAGACAGAAGGTTGTGGATAGACGTGACTACCAACACTACACAGCATGGACTTTAAGAAGAAGAAGTTGCTAGAGGTGCCAAAGCCAACAGTCACCACCATAAATGTAGTTTATCATTCATGGAAGTAGTCAGTCACGACAAGTTGGCTATACACACACAAAATTATTACATAAGGTATTTTGCCAGCCCACACATAAACCGGCTTCCGACCAAATAGAATACCATGACTCAACAGCTGCACACATGCAAGGGAGTACTCTAATGTGATAAACTGCCAACCATAAATTAGCATAGATATTTGAGAGTGAATAATATGTCTGAATTCAAATGTGTGTTAAAAAAATGTCTTTGCTTTTACTTAAAGGTTATCTCCGACCTTCAAGAGAACTTTTAGAATTTTACCGCAAAAAAATTGCTGAATATGATGATGAACATGACCAGCTAGTGTGTAAGCTGGAAGAATATAAAGTTACATATGAAGAGCAGGTGAGATTCTGTTCATCTTTTGTACTGTGCATTAAAAACTATTAACTGATTTGGTTCATAGTCTGTTTGTGTCTAGGCTACAGTTTATTCTCTCACAAAGGTATTGTAGTAATGGGCACACAGTTTTAACCCTTGTTAATGTTATTATATAGCTACAGGCAATTTGTGTACATCTTACTTAAATGTGATGAATTCAAGAAAGGTGAATCAAAGAAATGTCTGCTGCCGCTTTTGTGGACTGCGAGCTACTTTAGGATAAAGTGGACATAGTCGGGTCTCTGGGCTTACCTGGACAGTGCAGTCCGACTGACAGAGAGGCCAAACCTTGAAAGACTAATTCATCAGGGGATGAAGAGAGGTTCTGGAAGATATTCAGAACTGGGGTGGGGGGAACATGGGCTTCATTCATGCATTCATTCTTGTCTGAACAACCACTGACATGAACAGTTATAACAGAAGATGGAAAAATGGAAATATATCTTGTGCAGAAATTTGGGAGAGGGAAGGAGAAAGGACATTCCACTGGGGGGGGGGGGGGGGGGGGATTGGTATCAAACAGTTTTTGAAATTGGTGAACATTTGTATTTGTAATAAGCTGTTATATTAACATTTTTTTTTCATTTGAACTATAAATGTTAGTTGAACAGTATATAAAACAAAAAGTCAAAAACATTATGATTTTGACACTTGGATTTATGCAGGTTTTTGTCTTCAAGTTTTTTTTTTAAATAGTAGTTGGGATTTTTCTTTCTGTCCTCTCTTTAATGCACTTCAGGATCCTTGCCGGTGCTATGGAGTTTGTGCACTGCGCTGAGATTCTTATAACTCAGGCTGAGTTAGAAGTAGAACGGAGCACTTATGGGTTACTACATGTGTGCCATGATGTTGATCCATTGTATAAACTAATAAACTAATTGCATCTGTGTATACAGCCTGCAAGAATCTAATCCCTGCAGTATCTCCCTAATCTTGTATCTAAGCTGCATAATGACACTGATCCACTCCTCCTTTCTTCCATTGCAGTCTATTGTTTGTATCTTCTTTGCTGAATTCCATCTGTGTGTATCTTTAAACATACAACACAGTTGGTGCCCATTCAAAATAAAAGGACCTGGGTTAACCCCATAATTAAATTAAAACTCTGCCTCTGCTGGGGGATGAAGCCTGGACAGATTTCTTGACAGACAAGCCATCAGGGATAGATGTTGAGCTGTACTTGAAAGTGTAGCAGGACTCAAACTTGTCAAGACCTATTTACACCTCTCCTTGGTGATCTTAGAAACAGGTACCCAACTGTAAACCGGACCAACAAGGATATGATTGACATTTCTTTCTAAGTCGGGCTGAATCTGCCTAAGAGGCAAGAAACCAACAGTATATCATTATCTGTTTATGAAACATATATTTGAAGCTATTTTGACTGTATTCACCTGCAGAGATATTATGAGGTCAGGATGTGAATAAATTAACTAAAATAGAGGTGGGGAGGGGGTGAATTGCTTCAAACAAAATGATTTTTCTTTTAAAGCCAGGTTGAGGTCAAATTTTTCAGTAAACCTCAGTGGTAAAGATAATGGAGTGATACTACATATATTTTTGAAGCCCCGAGAAATGTAGTCTGCTTAATGCTTCACTGTTTTTGTTTATTGGTTACTCCTTTTATATATCTTTATATATTTCAGTGAAAGAAAAATTTATGGGAATGTATTTTAGCCAGTTTATTAGTGACCTATGTAAAGTTTTGTTTTTAAAGATTTATTTTTGAGAATTCCCATTTTTTTTTTTTCATGCTGCAAAAGGGTTAATGCTTATGTGTTCTGTCACAGCATACACTGCAGTGGGAACTTCGCCAGAGAGAGGAGGAAATTGTGGAGCTCCAGAAAGCTTTGAGTGACATGCAAGTGTATCTGTTTCAAGAACGGGAGCATGTACTAAGACTTTATGCTGAAAATGACAGACTAAAAGTACGTTGTATGTCTCTGTTTTTATTGTTTAGTTGTGTTTTGTACAGTTATTATCTGAAGCATTTTGATTTTTATTATACATTTACACCTTCTACAGGGCTTACGACCGAGTAACTTACGATCATCCGCATTTATGACCACAAAAATAAATCAATTAAAAAAAAAGAAAACTACATTGGTATAGTAAAAAAAAAAAGTGTACAGAACTGATGCCTAAAGTTTGTTTTATATGCAATTTTTATAACCTGTTTGAATGAAGATAGTGTTGAATAATATAAATTGACTCATGACAATTTCAGATTACGACCTGTTAATTGGAATGAAACTCGGTCGTAAGTCAAAGAGACCCTGTAAGTAAAAAAAAGTGAAGGACACTTTTCTAGGCCTTTAGGCGTATAGGGCATATAGGGCTAGACCTATATTTTATAGACCAACGGCACAAGATGGGTGATGTGGTCAGCATCACGCCGGCCACCTCTCCTACCCGGGACTGCACCCGGTACCCATTCAAGGCTGGGTCGACCCAGGAGCCAAGGTCATTTTTTTTTTAAAAAGTCCGGCTTTGCCAGGGAGTGAACCCACGACCTTCTGATCCGCGGCGCGTGTCTAGCTGCTCCACCACTGTGACTCCCGAAGAGACCCTGTACTAGACATTTGTTACCTGGCTTCACCAGGAATAGACTCATTCTTTATTCATTATAGATAATTTTATTCACCTTGCTGTTACAAATGTATTTCAGTACTAGGCTCTATACAATAAGTTTAGTCTCTTGTTGATCATTGGCAATGATAAACAGTGTTGAGGGGATTTTTTTTTTGTTTCTCATTATCCTGTTGTACCGCATATTCATCACAGAGGGTTAACAGTCAAATCCTCCATTCCATTCTCGATATCGAAGATGAAACGAGGCCTTTCACATTAATCATTTGGTATGGAGTTTCTCTTGGACATCCCTTTTTTTTCCTCAGCCCATTGGCTTCCTACTACAGTGCCTGTTTAGTGAATAGGGCCCATTTAGTTGTAATAATCACCTTAATGACTTGTCAGATGCTAGAATGACCAGGTGCAAAGATCCAGGTGAGGGTGGTTAAGTGCGATTTTTTAATGCTGTCTATTCAGAGAGTATACCACCTGTTGGTGTCTTCTGAAGCATGTACATGGAGTCTGATACAGATGACATAGGCCAGGGCTTTTCAACTAAATTTACTCAGGGACCAAAAATATTGAAAATGGGGATTATTACAGGACAGAAGCCAAAGCCCCAACATAAAACGTTCATTAATAACCTCAATTTGGCAGTGATCAGTGGGCCACTTGCTAGGTCTCTGTGTGGCGAATCCAGCCCGCAGGCTGCCAGTTTGAATAGCTCTGGTTTAGGCGTTCATGCTTCTTGACTGAGTTTGGTCCCTTGAATTCTGGGTCTTCATTTTCTGCGTTCGTGCTTAAAAGTGTGGTTTACAGCCTAAAAATCTGCACTGAAAAGGCAGCAGTTTAATGATGCTGAAGATGTTATTGTCAGTGTGAAAATGGCATCAGAGAAAGGGTTTCCAGGAACATTTCTAGTAACTGTGAATGTTGGCAGAAGTTTGTAGTTGCTGAAGGGCACTGTTTTGAAGGAAATGTAGTGTAAGTGGTTTTTTTTTTTTTTGTTAATTATGTCTACACCATACAAATTCTGGGAGCTTTTTGAAGCTACATCTTATAACTGTATGCCATTGAGCAGAAGTTGGCTGCTCAGGCATTACTGGATCAGTAACAGCAACAAACAGCTGCTGATAGTTTGAAGTTTCCTCTCCTCCTCCTCTTCTTCTTTCTCTTCTGCTTCTTCTTTTTCTGCTGCTGCTTCTCCCTTTCTTCTTCTTCTTCTTCTTCTTCTTCTGCAGCTACTATTTTTTTAAAATCCAGATGGAGCTTATGTCCTGAACCCATTCATGCTAAAGCTTATTCATAATTGGTTGATTTTGACAGCTTTCTTTCCAGTGAGGTAGCCAATCTGAAGTCGGTCCTTAGTTGTTTCTCACAGCATGAATGGTAGGGTACACTATTACCATTCTTTGTTTCCTTTATGGGTCCAGAATACACGAGCAAGGTACAAATTTATCAACAGCCAATTCTTCTGTAAATAGTCATGACCAATTTTTTTTTTTTTTGGGGGGGGGGGGGGGGGGGGGGGGGGGGGGGGGGGGTTATTTAAAGATGCTACAGAACAATTTTTTTAGATGCTTGCCTGTCAGCCCGAAAGTTTTAGAGTTTGAATCGGCATTGATTCCTTTTTTTTTTTTTTTTTTTTTTTTTTTCAATTTACCTTGTCCTTAAATGGGTACTGAGTATGGTCCTGGGGAAGTAAAGGTGGCTAGTGTGATTGTGATCACATCACACATTCAGTGAGTGTGGATTAGTCTATAAAATAAAATGTTTCACTGTGTATAAGATTATATGTTTTCCCAATTTTTGTAGGTTTAAAATATGGCATTGTCTTATACACGGAATGTGTTTACAATGTTTATTTCTTGATTTTGGGCAAAAAATAGGGGGCATTTTTGGGCAAAAAATAGGGGGCATCTTATTCGGAGGGGCATCTTATAGACACACAAAATAAGATATTATCTAAGCGTGATATGCTGCATGTACCACTTTTTCTTTCTAACAGAACTGTTTAAATTGCATATCTGTTTTGTTTGTATCTCACTTAGATTAGAGAATTAGAAGACAAGAAAAAGATTCAAAAACTGCTGGCATTAGGAGGTTCTACAGGTGGCGAAGTGACCTACTTCTTCAAGGAGCCTCCGGCCAAAGCAATCGTTGAGCAGAAGTTCAAGCAGCGACCTAATTCAGCTAATGTAAATAATAGTGCCGTGCCCATTTCCATCACTTCAAATGTTAAAGGTGAGCTTACTTTTTTTTTTTTTTGCAACTTTCTCTTTTCTTGATTTGATTGCTATGCCTGTTTCCATCACTTCACTGTAAAAGTGAGATTCCTACTCTTACTTCCTGCTTTGGTTGTTTAGGGAGTTACAGTGGTACCTGGACAGCTTGAACATAATCTGTTCTGAGATGGCGTTGAAATTCCAAATTGTTTTAGTTCCCGGGCAATTTTTTTTTTCCCTTGAAAATAATGGAAACTAAATTAATTTGTTTCAGTATCCAGCAACCTCAAATTGTAAAATGTATTTTCCTAAATACATTAGACTATAAATAAAGTAATTAACACATGATGATCATATTTGAATAAGGTTAGTTGCGTATCCTTTACAGGACGTTGCAGAACCAACCCCAACAGCCCCTGGCTGTTGTGTAGTTTTTCTAGGCTAATTTACGTCCAGTAGTTTGCCATTGCTTTCTGGACGGTCAGCTTACAAACATAAATAAATAGAAAAGATATAAAAAATTGTATTTACAGTGCTTTGATGAAAATGGTGACATAGTACATCCAAGTAGGAGCAGGAAGGGAGATGTAGGGAGAGTATTGTTTGGAATTGAATCACCTTCCATGGTAACATCAGGAATCCTTGTTTGTGTTTCGTATCATAGTGGTTCACCACTTGTAGAGGGTTTGAGGTCACTAGTTTTTTAATGACAGACGGCAGTCGAAAGTGATCTGGTTTTGAGGTGTTTTGAGCTGTTGAACGCAAAGAGAACAAAGAAAAAGCTGCGAGTGTAATATTGATGACGCTACCTATCAAGTGCCAACTGCTCAGATAGTATGGGGCTAGTACCAGAGGGCGCCAGATGTTCAGCAGGCCACATGGCAAAGTTCTTTACTGGTTCTGTTTAAGTTCTACGTTGACCACTGTCAGATATTAAATAGCCATTTACTTCCAGGAAAGAAAACTCCAGCCACAGAGAAAAGGTCACCACTCACTGAACTACCAGAAGAAAGATATGCCAATGAAAATGAGATGCTTACATTACAGGTAAAATTGTCTGTGTGCTGTTTTTTAATTTCCAGATACATCTTTAAACAGAGGTAGCATACTGTAAAACTTTACTCTTTTGATCCCAGATTTTCCAACAGATGCCTGCAATGAACAGTAACCACAGTGAAATAGAAAGAGTGTATTACTTTCACAGTGGCCGCAGATTCTGCGCTGTAGGTAGAATGTCTAGCCAGATTTCATTTTAATCTTCTTCTTCTTCTTTTTCTCTTCTGCCATTTACCTCAGGGAGGTTGGGGGGGGGGGGGGGGTGGGGGGGGGGGGGTGGGTGTAGAGATGTAAGGATAGTTTGAGCGCTTTTTCCAAGGCATTGTACAAGTTGGTGTTCATTTCTGATAGGTTGCTCCTGATGATGTCGCTTCTTCTCTTGCGTGGTCTTCCCCTTGCTCTGTGTTCATTCTATTTCTTCAGCTTGGCTCTCTGTGACAGTTGGTACCAGGGCATTCTCGTCAGGTGGCCAAACCATCTCATTTGTTGTTCTTTGGTGAATTGTATGACTGGTTTCAGTCCTAGTTTTCTCCTAATTTCTGTATTCCTGATTTTATCTCTTCTTGTCACACCGGCAGCTCTTCTAAAGCATCTCATCTCTGTTGTTACGATCTTCCGCTCTTTAGTGGTAAAGTAAATATTCTGAGACCAAATATAAAAGATTTTTTTAAACAACGGGCAATATTTGATACACACAGTCAATAGCTGAATACACATATTGTGTTTATTGAGAATTGTACAGAGTTAAGCTTAAACTCTGTTACTCCTAGAATGTCTGCAGTAACCTGTTCTTGAAAAGCGTAATAAAATTCCATTGGTTCCATCTACTTAGTCTTTGTCGAGGTTTCAATTCACTGCAGTCAATTAACCCCATGTTTGCTCCGTTTCCATGCCAGTGAAAATCAGATGAAACATCCCTCACTGTCCCATTTGAAAAAAAATGGTGAACAAGATATTGGTCCTGGCTCAATCCAGAAATATGCGTATGCAGTAAAAGCGAATGGCAGTTTCTAGAGGTGCCAAAGCCAACAGTCATCACCAGAAATGCAGTTGTTGTTGATGGACGTAGTCGGTAACAATAAATTGGCTATACACAAGTAAAATGATTACATAAGGTATTTCACCAGCCCACGCGTAAACTGGCTGCTGGCTATATCGAATACCACGACTTAACCACTGCACAAATAAAAGCCATTCTACAGGACAACGCAGCTTACAGTGCTGCAATAAGCACTAAACTCAGTAGCTCAGGCCGCGAAACCATAGACTTCTGTCCATATGTGGAAACTGCATTAGCAAAGTGCTGTCGCAAGCAAAAATAACTTTGAAGCTAAACATTTTGCCATGCCTAATCCTCCATATTTGGCCTACTCAGTGTTTAATAGTCTGGGATATGAATATAGCTACTAAAAAAAGTATTGGGGAGGGGGGTCCTTTTGACCCCAAAAGCTTTTTTTTTTAAAGTCAAGTTGATGGAAAAAAATTGATAACCCTTTGTGATAGAGGTGACGGCATGTGTCGCTCGATACATATTGTTTCTTAGCCGCAGGGAATGTATTGCATTTAAGGCTTCATTCTGTAACAGACCAGCAGTCTGCATACGAATAAGTAAGATATGTGAAACGGATGTGCAAGCAACACTCAGGTTCTGAAACAAGACTAAAGGGCAGAGGTGGACGAACAACCAGAACTTTCCATAACTTTCCGCTAGAGTTTACAGTCAGTGAATGCAAAGAAGAAAGAAGAAGAAGACTTCTTTTCCCAGCATGTGTCTTGCCCAGCACCTTAATCTCATTCTCACTTGAATCACTGGAATTTATTTAGTTATCTGCCAGTCTATTATTATTACATTCTATCATTTGGTTTTATTCCTTCTGTTCTACAAGTTAGATCTTTCAGTCCTTCAGAGTCCCAGATAAACTCTGAGGGAGTTAACAAGGGGCAGTACTAAACTCATAGGTATACTACGTCCGGAGAGGCCAAATATACAACCCTTCATCATCATCATCACAAACCACCTCTGCGGTTAAGCGACGTGGGGAGGAATAATTTGCGATCCTTGCAACCCTTGCAGGAAACAAATATGTTGTCAGAGATCTTTGGGGTCCCTGCATTAAGATAAGATGTAAAAACATACATAACAGGTTGATTGGTACATGAGAATAATACCCAGTCACACATACTGTGTTTTAGGGGACAAAAAAGAGTTAATGAATATTTAAAGTTTATTATTAGCTGTTTTAGTTGTGTGTTTTTGTCTACTTTATATATATTCACATACACACGCACACAAATTGATCACAGTTTTTAAAAAAATGTTTTTATTGAAAACGCTTTAATACTCCATTGAAGGTGAAATCTCTTCAGTCGCAACTAGCAGAACAGACCAAATTAGCCAAAGATCAGTTGGAGGCTCTGTTAGAGGACAGGCGAGTCAAGGAGGAAGAGTATGAAACCAGAAGACTAAGGGATGAAGAGAAGATCCGAACTCTGACAGAAAAGTAAGATGCGGTTTTTTATTTCTTTTTGGGGGGAGGGGGTGTATGATTTATTCTCTGTCTTCTCGGTTCACTGACAAACAAGTAAAACTGTTGCCAAATACGTTTTTAATATTTATACTTACTATGCAATCTTCCTGTTGGTTTCTAAAATTAGTATTAACATTTTCCAATATATGTATTGCTGATTTTGTTTGCAAATTCAGAAGTTCACTAATGCATGTTTGCTCAGTGACTCAATGAGCATGCTATACAACATCAAGGTGAGGTACATATGGAAACAGTGGCTCCATCTAATACAGCACTCAGCGTTTCACAGAATCATTTTTTTGTCCCAAGGTATACTGGTGCGAAAGGCAGTGGAAAGCAGACGTGACTGGGAGGAGTGGGCCATCTGTGGACAGGAGAGACATCATCAATGCCATTCAAGAGACTAAATGCTGTGAGCCTTTCAGTTTCATGAAGAAAAAAATTTCACTGAATAGACTGCATACCCTGGGAATACTAGTTGGGGCGGGAGCCACCTGTAGTTACATCAGACAGAACAGAATGGGAGTTATTAGCCTGAAAACACTTGGAGACATACTCAGGAGGAGATGGGAGCACTTATGGTCAGGTGTGATGAAGGTAATCTCAAAAATGAACAATCAATTATTTTGTTTGGATTGGTGACTTTTTTCCTCCAGATCCACTTAATAAATTATCATTATTGAACATATTAGTCGCCGAGGCCGAGCGGCTAGACGCTTGTCACAGATCGGAAGGTCGTGGGTTCGCTCCCTAGTGGAGCCGGACTTTTTTCAAAAATGATCTTGGCTCCCACGTCGACCCAGCCTTAAGTGGGTACTGGGTGCAGTCCCAGGAAAGTAAAGGTGGCCGGCGTGATGCTGACCACATTACCCATCTTGTGCTGATTGGTCTTTAAAAATATAGGTCTAGCCCTATATGCCCTATACACCTAAAGGCGTGGAAAAAGGTCCTTTACTTTACCTTTTTTTATTTAACATATATTAAAACAGGCTGCACAAGACCCAGGATCTCCTTTATGACAGCACTAAAGACTTCTTGGAACTGCGGTTTGAAGGCAGGGCCATGGAACGAGCCTGGATGGCTGAGAAAGACCGACTGCTGCGGGAGATGGATGTGGTCAAACAGCAAGCTTGTGCCCGGATGAAAGAAGCTGTTGTTAACACATCAGTTGGAGGACACTCGGACAGGGTCGATCCTGAGGAAGTGAAGGTTTCCGAATATTTTGTTCCACTTTTCTTCTTTTTCTTCGCCCTCATCCTCCTCCATCTTTCTCTCCTTTTTTTTCTTCTGCTTCTTCTGGTGGCCTGAAGCCGTTAGCAGCAGTCATCACTTCCCAGTGTTAGATGCTGTCTGATATTATGATGAACTTAGTGTTGCTCATACCATTGTTGTTCATTTAATTGTTGTTATTTTATTCTCTTCTTCTTAGCATTTACTGGCTGTAAACTCCATCGAAATGTTCTGATCATTCATCCACTTCTGGACTGATCTGGTTCTAGGACTCAGGTTTTGGTCTGCACATCGGTTAAACAGATCTGGCTTTTCTGTATGCAGACTGTTGGTTCCCAGCCTCTCAGGCAGGTGCACTCCAACTTGAAAGGAAACTTCTCAGATTAGTTGCCTTGTAGGATGTGCTTGTTAGGGAGGCAGTGGGTCTGTTCCACCCACACCCCTCCCTCAAATGAGTCCCTGGAACCCACACAAGAAGCTATTATTATTTATGGCCCAGTTCTATCAGCTTTCAACAAAAATTTGTCCTTGTTTTCATCTGCTTTCATTGCTAAGACAAAAGTACATATCAGCCAAAAATAACAATAAACAATTCCCCCCAAAAAAGTTGGAAATGTGACAATCTTTGATTACCTTGGCCTTTAAATAAACATCGTCTTCTTCTTTTGTCAATATCCACTTCTGCCGCTAGGCGTCACAGTTCATCAGACGATCGGCAGCCGAGTCAGGGTGCACTCAGTCGCTTGATGTACTGTATGTTATGCAGTATCAAGGTGTCAGTAATTCCTTCAGTCCATCTTCACAACATTGCAGAAATAGATCATTTGTTTTAAGCAAACAAAAGAAGAAGAAGAAGAAGTCCAACTTCTTCTCAGTCTTCCCCTGCCTCTTGGTGTTTTGATTTTCAGGTTGTACGCTCTTGCTGCTAGCATCGTTGGTTTCATTCTCAGTAGATGGCCAAACCATTTCATACTTTGTTTCTAAATAAATTTGACGGTGGGTGTTTTTCCAACAGTTCTTGTGATCACGTCGTTTCTCACTCGATCTCTTCTGGTTTTATTCACAGCCATTCTTAAACATCTCATCTCATAGGTGGTTAGTTTTCTTTCATGTTCTTTTGTCAACGTCTAAGTCTGACACTGTTAACCTAAAGTCGGTGTAAATATTGTATTTGTAATTTGTCTTTTTGTCTCTATTGGGATAGCAGAGTGTTTTAATATTGAAGCAAGTTGGTACATGACACTGTTGGCTTGATGAATTCTCGTTTCTATTTGTCTGTCTATTTTACCACTGTATGAAAAGATGCTTCCCAAGTATATAAATTCTTGCACTTGTTGCACAATGTGCTAAAAATATTTTTTGGCATTCATTTTTTTCACATATTTGTATTTCACTTCTGCCACCATTTGTTGTTACTTGTTCTAACATCTCTAGTAGTTTCATTATTGTTTGTTTTCATTTTAATGAAATACACCCTTTTTTTCAGTGTGTCTCAATTTGTAGGACCTATATGATATCCCACTTTCTTAATGCCTTCCTCCAGAGTCTAGAGTTTCATCTGAATCAGAGCAACAAGCTGGCAGATAATTACAGAGAGCAGGTCATCCAACTGGAGGATGAGTTGTCTCGGTTGAGAGAAGAAGGAGATGTTACTAGGGAAGTGTTCCAGGTATGTTGTATACTCGTTTTTCTCTCACACATCTTCTTTTATTTCCAGGAAAAGCATGATGTGTGTAACTCTTTATCTCTATGTCGTGTGTCTCTCAGCATTATCTTTCTCTCTCTCCATCTCTCTCTCTTTATCTATCTCTCTCTCTTTATCTATCTCTATCTCTGTCTCTCTATCAATATCTATCTCTTTCTCTCTCTCTCTCTTTCTCTATCTATCTCTCTCTCTTTCTTTCTCTCTCTCATTTTCTCTTTCTCTCTTTCTTTCTCTCTCTATCTCTCTCTCCCCCTCTCTCTCTTTATCTCTATCTTTCTATCTCTCTTTCTCTCTCTATCTATCTCTCTCTCCCCCTCTCTCTC